GCTCTCCACCTAGAATGTTCTCCTCCCTGACTCCTTCCCCCTTCACGACCCACTGCCCTCCTCTGGGCTCCCTCAGCACCACGGGCCCACCACACACCCGCAGCTATAAATAACCGATAACAGACAACAGGAAGGCAGGTTGTGTCTGAATCCAGAAACCTGTCTTTCTGACCTCGGAGTAGAAAATTCCCTTATTATAGAACTCTTGATGATGATGATGATGATGATGATGATGATAGAAGAAGAAGAAGAAGAAGAAGGAGAAGGAGAAGGAGAAGGAGAAGGAGAAGGAGAAGGAGAAGGAGAAGGAGAAGGAGAAGGAGAAGGAGAAGGAGAAGGAGAAGGAGAAGGAGAAGGAGAAGGAGAAGAAGAAGAAGAAGAAGAAGAAGAAGAAGAAGGAGAAGAAGAAGGAGAAGAAGAAGAAGAAGAAATCCTAATGCAGGCTACAACCAAGAAAGAAATGAATGGGACACTTAGTTCTCTTGGCCGCCATACTCAGTGGGCGTAGGAGGCTGAACCCCCCGCCAAATGAACCCAGTGGCCACCTGCGTCGGGAGGGGCTCTTTCTAGTTACGTGCACTTTCCAGAATTTTTTCTGTTTTTTGTTCTATTGTTTATGGTTATGTTTAAGGTAGTTATAGTCAAGCCTTTTCTGCTATTCAAAATAAACAAGGGTCAAAATAATTCTTTTTGGAGAGAACCAACTGATACTTTCACTGACTCTGATGAAAAAGAAGAGAGAAAAAAATCAAATCAAATCCAGTCTAAGGCAGTGAATGGGGTTCTGCCTGCTTGAGAAAGTGCCATGGATTTTCTGGGGGTGCAACTAGCCCCTCCTCTTCCTGTTACTGCCTTCAAATGGCCCACCCTGATTTAGTCATTAAAACTGAGGAACTGATTGCTTATTCAAGGAAGCTGCATCAAATCCTACTGCTGAGTTCAAAGCACTAAAATCCTGGGCATATTTTCCTGGTCATCTCATGGGCACAAAGCAAGAGACAGTGCATAGTAAAAGGACCTGTCCCTAACAAGGGGTTGTGGCCAGTAAATCTCCTGGCCGTGGTCATCACGTCAGGGAGGGGTACACACGGGACCACCCACGTTAGAGATGGACCGCAGCAGCTGTCTTCTCAAGAGGCAACTGGTATCCTGCTGATAGAAAACAACAACACGGAGCCACGGGATTCACCATGGGCGGGGAGACTTGGAACCCGCCGTTCCTGACTGACACGCTGGGAAAAAGCCGGAAATTTTGTGATTAATCTGAGGAGAACGGGCCATCCTTTTGCTTGTACAGCTTGCAATAATCCATCTGAAGCCGGGGTGGATGATTGTTAGCTACAACGCTGAAACACTCCCATATTAAAAAGTTACAAAGCCAAATACACTGGGCAACAATCCTCTATCAGATCTCTGTATGTAATGACTAAGGTGGCAGCCAGGAAAATCCGTTCCTCCTTCCACCCCTCCTCCCCTTTAGAGTTGTCTTCTTTCTTCTTCTTCCCTAGGGGCAAAAAGATTAATCACACCAAGAGATTGTGACTATGAAGAGCTTTAAGGAATAAAAAAGAAAAAAAAAATCCAACGGTTTACTACATCATATCTACCTATCTATGTACCTACCTACAAAGACACCCCCTCCCCCCACACCCTTCATTACAGCCTGAGGCTTTCTTCCCTTTAAACGCACTGCTAACTGGTAAGCAATAACTGCTCTCCACGAGCAGACAGCACGGTCTTGCTAGGCCCCTCTCTCTCCTTCTACATTAGTGTTCCTCCCTTCTGCCCTGCCCCCTGCATTGCTATTGCTAAAGACATTAGACAATCAATTCCAAAGGACTACTTACAATTCTACCTTCAAATAGGTTTACCATATTAAATCAGAATCCCTGTATATAACCACGGCCCCACCTTTCCATGACACTGGACATGGGGGGTTTGAAAGAAAACAATACAAAAATGTTTGTAGAAAACTAGGCTACCAGGAAATATATGAACAGGTAACTCATATGATTGGCATAGAACCCTCTGCACTCTTTACTCTTCAAGGCCTCAACAGCTTCAACAAAAAGCACAGGTTACTGCTGAAAACGGCACACCAGCTTCCCTTACTGCCCAAAGCTATCACCCCGCCACTCAGATCATCAAAGGAGCATTCAGAAATGGTTATAACCACCAAGAGGGGAAAAAGTGATGTAATCATTGTTTCTCTCTACTTATCATAAAACTGATGAGCAAGTTTGACATACAAATCATTAAGGAAAATAGAGGTGCTGAGAGGCAACAGAGTTGGGCAGAAAGAGGCAGACAGGAATTCTTTAGTGAGGAAAACAGATTCCTGTGTCAGCAGTTTCCTATTTAGATGGGTAAGGCCAGTCCACTCCTGGGGCACCCTACTGCCATGGTAACTAAGCACAGAGCCATGCCTTAGGTCCACACCATCTTGGCAATAAAACTACAGCTCTCACTGAAGGGCTATGAACAGAAGGCAAGTCTTCCAGTCTTGCACCTGGGAGGCTAACCTGACCTCCACGCTAGTTTGGCAGCCTGAATTCTCACCACTGTTCAGGTGTAAACCAACTCAGCGTTGGAATTACCTTCCTGGAGCCAAGCTGCCCTGGGGTAGAGACCTCATGGAGCCACCACCAAGGCAGAGCATCCTTCTGGGTCTGGAGTCTCTTGGAAGGATTCTGAGGTAGTCATGGTGAGAACAGGGACTCAGAATCCTGGAGAAATCCTAGGATCTGAGGCCTCACTCTGTTCTGGGGGAGCAATGTTGAATGTTTCCTCAGAGACACGGCTATTTTAAGCTGTCCAGAATCTTCTGGAGTCTCCTATAGGCATTCATCCCAATGATTTCCATCACTGTAATTCTGTTTTTTGAATCTAAATGCCACATACTGGAAAGCACAACTACTTTAATTCTTTGAAACAATCTTAAAGAATAACACTGATAGTAAAGAAATTCAAACAAGGAAAACTACCAGCCACAGTCCTGCCACTGTGCAAAGACCTTTCTTCCCATTTTGAAGCACTTTCTAGCTTTCTTGATCTAGAAAAGTATTTTTGCATAGCTACTGTAATCATACCTGAAAGTTTGTATTTTCCTAGGATATGAGAAATATTTTTCCATGTTTCTCCAGTCATTACCATCACTGTTTGTATGGATGGCTGGCTTCCCTACTGGTGACGGACCATGGGTGCACCGGGTAAGTCCTCTGCGTCCATTTCCTGTCGTACTGAGATAACACCGGGAGAGGCCCGCCTGCCACTTCTTTACAGAAGCCACTGGGAAGTTTCTATGATGCTTACTTTTATCAAGAGGCTTGCTGCCTCCCCCTTCCTCCCTCTTCCAATCTGGAGACTCCCCACGAGTTTTATATCACTTTATTTCATAAAGTAATTTGAAAGCTTACAAATATCATTTACTGAGCAGTTATTGCTTACCAGCTCTTAGGAGCCTTGTGTGTTTTCCTACGTTGGAAATGTGACTGCTGTATGAATAATCCAGCACGCTAGGGATTACCTGCTATACAGCCAAAAGCCAAAAGCCATTCTTCCAAGATTTGTTCGGACACAGAGAAGGTTTTGGCATCGATCATAACCGACTTGGAACTACAGATTTCCTGTTTTATTTAGGAACAGGGGGTTTTGATCTAAGAAATGTTAGTCACATTCTGCCAAGGTCAGTCCTGACACTGATGAGGTAGCAAAGGCTCTGGAGAGTTTAAGAGGAGGCCAACTTTCTGTTAGAGCAAGGGGCAAGGCTGATTTTCCATGCAAACGTCCGCAAACTCCAGCACAAACAACTGTGCCCATTATTTTCCCTGACGGATGTTGAATGTGAGCCAGTACCGCCTAAGTTCTCCAGAACTGGGCCAGCCCAGAAATGAAGGGAGAGGAAGGTCCACCTGATCCTTCTTCAGATGGACAACCACTCCATGTAGGTAACCAGCCAAGAAGCCTACAGCTCGGGCAAGACACAGCCTTCCAACTTCCATTTTGGTCAGAATCAGATGGGATGCCTAAAACAAACAAAAACCCCACCGGGAACTTTGCTGCAACCTACGCGCTCGGGCTGCATCTGTGTGTGGGTTTGGCATCTTGTAGTGGTAGCGGCCGCCGCCGCCCAGCTGTTCCCTCACTACACATGTTTTCCCTCGTAAAACTTCCAGCAGGCTGGCGGGCTTCACGCTCCTCACTTAGCTTTGTTTGTGTTTTCAATGAATCAATGGGATATGGAGACTAATCAAGATGTTTAGAAAAATAAAGAAAGGAAAAAAGAACAGCTCGTGATGCTGGCTGTTCCTGAAAGCTGGGTGAGAAAAGCTGCGCAGGAAGGACCCGGAAGGGGGTCTAGGAGCATGGGCACGCGGGCCAGCCCTGGGTGCACAGTAAAGGTGCCACCTCAAGGACCTTACAGATCTCAGATGCCATCTCTGCCCGTATCCCAGGTCCTCCATCTCCTGCTCCCAGGCTGGATCTCTGGCCTCAGCCCCACTCTGCTGTGCCCCTGGCTCTCTAGCCAGTCACACGCTGAACTGCGAATCTTCCTGCCTTCATTTTCCTTTTGCTTGAAGGCAGCCTCGAATCTTCCAGAGGAACTTGACTGTTCCTTACCATGACCCCACTGGGAGCGACACAGGCCTATTCCTTGTGCCCGCCTAACAATGGAAGTCCCAAGCACAGAATCTGTCCTGACTTGAACCACAGCCCCCAGCCATGAACACAAGGCTTTACACCTAGAAACAGACAGACTGATGAGAGAATGCGGCGAGGAGCAAGAAAAGGCTGCAGGAACTCTGCACTCAGCTGCCGACCCTCTCTCTCTCCATCAGAAACTACAACCACGAGGACACAGTTTGCCAACAGCCTACCATGTTTTCAGCTCCCAAATCCAGAATGAGGGGCCCTTTGAGTCTCCCTGTTCCAGACCAGGGGACAGGAAAACATGTGGCAGGGAAATATTTCACACAAAACAAGAGGAATCAGCTGGTTACCTGAGCTCACACAGCCCTGCTGCAGAGGGTCCTGTAGTGACGTCACAGAATGGAGGACTAAATAAGAAAAAGGAATACAATTAAATGAGGAAAAAAGTCCAGGGGTTTGAAGCTTTCTAATGAACTGAGTTTAGCAGAGGGGAGACCGCATTAAGTCCCAAAGGCCTAAGGGAAGGTTTCCCCACTCCTAAAGCGGGGAGGCCAGAAGGCAGGGTCCACACAGGCAGGCCAAGTGCTGACGGAAGAAGGCAGGAGCCTGCCTGGGGAACAGGCGGAGGCTGTCGCCCATCACAGCTTTCACCTCCGTGCCTTTGGCTGATCTTTCCTGATTCCCTGATTTAGCTACTTGACTTTTACCTTTATTTATGTATAAACAGCATTTCCTTAATTGGTAACTCATTTTCTGCTGCTTATAAAATTAGCTAGCAAAATCTTCTCTCTCCTAAAAAGTGAAGTGAGTCCATGGCAACAGGTAGTGCAGGAAGGGGGCCAGTTCTCTGCCTGCAGTGCCATGTGGCTGGCCACCTTATGCCCAGATGCCCCTTGTCCCTCCCTGCAGCAGCCCAGGGCTGCCCTCACCTGGCCCCTGCTGCTGTCCTTGGACTGGCAGGACGCCCTGGCCCAGCTCGCCGTTTAGCCAGAGCTGCATCCGGATGAAGGGTTCGCGGCCTTTCTGGGTCAGCTTGCTCCATGGCTTCGGCCGGGACAGCATATCACTGACACTGCCCTGGGACAGGCCCAGCACCTGGAGTGGCAGACAAAGACCATTGCATCAGCACTCAGGGGTGAGCGTGAGGCCGCAAAATGCTGTAGTGATATGCACGGACGCTGGGAGGTGACAGAGAGAGAGGATGCACAGGGAGCGCTTCAGGGAGGAGCAGAAAACCAGAGCCTGGAGGAGGGGGATAGCCTAGAGTGGGGAATACTTTGCAAGGTCACTGGTGTGCTGATGCCCTGGCATGAGAAGCCATAGGTATAGTCACAGCTTTTAGCTCCCAGGGAGAGGCAGGCTGGGAAAGGGAGGAGTGGTGTCTCCATTCTGCCAAGGCTGTAGGGTCGTTGTCTTGACAACCCAAGAGAAAACATTGAAATCATCTTGCTCTTTGCCTGGTGGCGCCAGGAAAGGCTGAGGTGCTGAAGCCAAGGACCCCTTTAGAGGCAGAAGCAGCAGATACCAGTGGGATGTTGGAAGCCAGTCTGCTTTGCTGGTGCTGGGCCAAGTTGGCATTTAGAAAGATCTGCTCTCTCTGATCCCATCCTGCTCTACGGTAGGGGCCCAGAGGTGAGCTGGTGGCAACGGGGGAGCCAGTCTGGGAGAAAAATGCATGAGTTGCACATACATTCCCGGGTTTTCTTATGCTCACATATGGCCATACATATGTATGGGCACAAACACCCCCCACAGGACACAGATGCAGCCCAGGGATATTTAGGGGCTGCATCCGATCAGTCTTTTGAAAAGTTCTCAAGTTTCAGAATAAACTGCACTCGTGGGCCAAACAAGTTCAACACTATTAAGTTTGCTAAATTTAAGGCATGAGCACAAATGTCTATTTAAATGTTCTCAAATGATATTTTTACAACACTGAACTAGAAATTTCAAGGGACTTTAAATTTTCATCCTCATTTCTATTCCCCCATCACCTTTTAAAAAATCAGGACAAAGATATTGCAATCAGATATTGCAAGGATTCATAGCACCACACTGCAACTGCTGAAGTGAAGCAGGACAGTGAGGGGGTAGGGGTGGGTGGGTAGGCCCCTTGAAGGCCACTGTTGACCCAGCTACACACCCCTCAGAGAGGCTGCCTTTAGGGGAATGGAGCACTTCTCATTATGCTCAGCATTCGTTACTTAATCTAAAATGATCCTAGGAGCCGAGACCGGTTTGGCTCAGTGGATAGAGCATCGGCTTGGGGACTGAGGGGTCCCGGGTTTGATTCCAGTCAAGGGCATGTACCTTGGTTGCGGGCACATCCCCAGTAGGGGGTGTGCAAGAGGCAGCTGATTGATGACTCTCATCGATGTTTCTAACTCTCTATCTCTCTCCCTACCTCTCTGTACAAAATCAATAAAATATATTTAAAAAAAAATGATCCTAGGGTATTATATTTCTCTTATCCCTGTGGGGGATGGGAGGGGGTTCCTCAGCCTGGCCTGTGCCCTCCTGCAGTCCGGGAGCCCTCAGGGGATGTCTGCTGGGAGCGGGCCTAAGCCGTTGGTCGGCCATCTTCCTTAGCACTGCCTGCAGAGGTGGAAGAGGCTCCCGCCACCACTGCTGTGCTCGCCAGCCATGAGCCCAGCTTTGGCTGAGTGGCACTCCCCCCGTGGGAGCGCACTGATCAACAGGGGGCAACTCCTGCATTTAGTGTTTGTCCCCTGATGGTCAGTGCACATCACAGCGACCAGTCGTTCTGCTGTTCAGTCAATTTGCATATTAGCCTTTTATTATAAAGGAGGATTTACAGGCCTGGTAAATCCCCATTATCCAGAATCAGGAAGAGCCAAGAAGAGAAAGGGTATGGGAGCTCATCCACAAGCCACTGTGAGCCAGGGAAGGACATTATGGAAACAAGGGCTTCCAGGACCCTGGGCAGCCCTGCCCAGGCCACCTCCAACCATGCATTCCTGGGCAAGTCACTTAATCTCTGCTGGACAGTACCTCAGTGCCCTCTGAATCATGAGAAAGGTGCAATTATGCTTTACACAGCCTTGGTGTTCTCTGCACACTGGCCGTCTCTCTTTGTTGTCAGATCCCTTTTGGCCAAAGAAGCCTGCAGAGGTGCCTCTGGGCTGCACTTGGCAGCAGAGGCAGGACTTTGATTCAGTCACCTGTCAGCTTGGGGTACGTAGTCAATTAACATCCCTGAGCCTCGGTTTCCTTGGCTGTCCAACGGCAACGTTACCATCCCCCTCACAGTGGGACTAAGTGGTCTAAAGGAGCACAGTTGGTGAGAGGGTCTAGCCCAGATCCTGGTCCCCAATGGATGCAGCAAAGGGAACATTCACCAGCCAACAGTCCCAGAAGTTTGGGAGTGGACAACCCATTATACTCATTGGTTAATGCAATGGGTGACAACAATGTCCTCTAGATACTTAGTTCTAAGCAATGAAAACAGATGGGAAAACCCGCTGTGATGTGCACTGACCAAATCAAATTCCTCACCTTTTCCCCGAAGATCCGCTGACAGATGCCGTTCTTGGCCAGCTTCTCCTTCACCTGCCGGGTGAGCTCGATGGTGTCCACCTCCTGGTACATGTAGACCTCATACTGCTCAGGCGTCAGCGGAGGGACAGCGGGCTTGGTGGGCTTGGACAGGGGTACGATGGGGGAGGAAGGCAGGGGGCTGTTCTGGGGTGTCTCGCTGCGGCTGGCTCCGGTCATGCTCAGCTCTGAGCTCTGGGAGTATGGCGACTCGGCGCTGGGCCACTCCTTCCAGTATTCGGAGGAGGAGGAGGAGGGTCCCTGGAGCTGGCTGCGTTCGGCCCTCGCCTGACTGCTGCCACCTTTTTCTTTCCCGCTGCCGGGTTCTTCGGCCTTGGTTTCCTCGGGGGGAGGGTTGCTCTTCCTCTCCGGCTGCACGGTGCTCCACCAGTGGTCCTTCCACCCGCCACTGCGGCCCAGCTCGTTCTTCACGTGCCGCAGGGCGCCCGGTGTGGGGTCGGTGGCTCCCTGGAGGTCCAGTCCAGGTGCGTCCTGGGACTCCTTTTTGAGGGCAGGGGGGTTGGGCAGAGCGGGGGTGCTGGAATCGGGGGCGGAGGCGGGCTTTTTCAAGGAGATGGCGAGAGGAGGGTAGCTGGACACTGAGGACATGGGCGAGGTGGATATTAACTTGGGGGTCAGGATGGCAATGTCAGTCTGGGCCAGTGGTGTTGGTTTTAAGGCGGGGTCGAGGGCAGCTTGCTGGGCCTCCATTTCTCGGCGGGCTTGCTGCAGGATGGAGCGGATGGCGTCGTCGGAGTTCCCACTGCCAGATGTGGAAGAAGGCTGGGCGGGCTCTGCTGCACGGAACAAACACACAGGAGATCAGATGGTGGCCCAGCCGCCACCTCTCCAGGGGAGCATGCTGCTTTCACTCCACTTCTTCCTAACTTGACTGCCACAACGTGTGGATTACTGGGGAGCTGCATGGCTCTATTTGTCCAGCACGTGCCCCATCAGGGAGACATTCATGCATCTTGTGTGATAAGAGAGAGGGAGTCCGTCACACTCACCCTGGACTTTCTTTCCCTGATGATGTAAAACAATTCTTGTAGTTTTTCTATATTCTAAAATTCTAGTGGTTTTGTCAAACTTTAGTAACAGTGTTAACAGTATTGACGAGAGAACAGTCTCCCAGTGTAAGGGACCGTATTTGGGTTAGCCCAGATTCTCTTCTGGGTGGGTGACTGTCGTGTGGCCAGCAACCCAAGCCCCACAACGAGGGGCAATGGGTAGGGATCCCGGGCTGTGATCTGGGGGAATCACAAGGCATCACTGGGTTTCAGGATTTCCATCTGTAAATTTGGGATGGGTAATGGACTAGATCAAGGATTCTTAACCCGAGCTGTGCACCAGAATCACCAGCTGCGCTTAAGATGCACACACCCAGGCCCCAGTGATTGAGAAGCAAGTGTGGGACTGCAAAGGGAGCCCTAGTTGAGAGGTGCTGGGCTGAAAGCTCCCTCTGGCTGAGCCAGCTCTGTAATGTGCCTTCATATCTGGGGGAGGAAGTCATACAAAGGGGCTCTTCTCCTTTAAATGATGCTGGAAAATGCCTCGAACAATAGTGACAACCTTTAATACCTCTGAGGACTCAACTTTCCTGGTTAACAGAGGGCCCTCCCTTTTCCAACTCACATGACCCTCACAGTGTCCTCTGGGTGAGGGCAGTACCATATCTTCAGGAGACATGATACACCTCGAGGTGGGCCTTTTGCCCTCAGTTCGGGGGTATCTCCTATGCTGCCTGGGGTGCCCTGCCAAGCTTTCTGTTTGTTCTGCCATCCAGAGGAGGGACTGGCTTAAACCTCAACTCTAGCCTTGAGGGTGAGAACATACGAAGTTGAAAGTACTATCCATTGGCAGGCTTGATCCCACAGGAGTCATTTCCTACCACCCTGGGATATCTGGAAGGAGGCAAGTGGCACCAGAGGGCAAAGTGCTGGGACAGGAGTTGAGAGATCAGGGTTTCCATCCAGAGTCTACCAGTTAATGAGTTTGGGCAAATTATTCTAACTTTCAGCGAATTAACCAGGAATAATAGGATAACAAAATCTATTTTCCAGGGTTGTGATGAGGAACTGGTTTGAAGACCTAGGCTAAGGTAGCTAAACATGCCCAGCCCAGGCCTGCTTCCCAGAGTTAGCACTGAGCTCACCCATTGAACAAGCAATGTGGGAGTGGGCAGCCTGAGGAGAGGACCCCCTGATCATGGAGGTGGCCCGTCCTCAGTTGCCACAGCTGCCTGAAGCCAGGCCGAGCAGGAGCAGGAGCAGGAGGGCTCTGCAGAGCAGGGCTTCGTGCCTGAGATAACTCCGGCACCCAGTTTCCTCCCCAGCGGTGTGAGCTGAATCTATGGCGTGGCGCGCTTCTCGTTCCAAAACTCGAGCAGAGAAACGCTGAAGTGTGGGAGTTCTTTCCTCTTAGAGGAGGCAGCTCTCAGGAAGCTCGGGGCCAGTCCTGAGGCAGACTAGGTCTGGACTGCAGAGGAGGACATCCATCTACTAAAACCCCCTGCTCTTCCTAGCAGCATTCATTCCAAAAAGCAGCTGTTAAGAATTTATTTTTCACCCATTCTTTTATGGTAGTGTTTGGTTAAATATATATCCAAATAATAAAAAGGCTATATTGCTTTTAAAAAAGAACTATGAAAGCAAGTCAACAAGATCCTAGAACATGGGTACCTATTGACTCAATGTTCAAGAATGACAGAAAAAGAATGTTAACTATTAGCAAAAGACCTACAGCACTTGCTTAAATACATGAAAACACACATTCTGCCTTTTTTTAAATTGAAAAGTTAACTACTGCTGACCAGAATGCCCAAGACAATATTCTAATTAAGTTTGGAAAACAGTGGAACCCATACCAGTTTTTTGCACTTGCAGTTCCCTTTTGGCTTGTTCCAGGATAGACTTGATTGCTTCATCGGACCCCGTCTCTGAGGCTCGGATCCGGGTGGTGATGTTACCTGCAAGGAGAAGCCACACCAATGACATCAAACCCATACCTGGAACAAGAACCAGTGCTGCACAAAGATGTCATTCTGATCAACAGATCTCACAGGAGTTGAGGCTGGAGATGGTAAGGAGGCAGATATGGCCTCCCATTTACCTGTACCTGCTGTGCATGCAACTTCACAGCAGGTACCGTGACCCCATGCAGGAAGGGCTTCGTGCTGAATCTACCTGACGTTGAATGCTCTTCGGCCAGTGGGATAAGTTCTCACATTTACTCAAGCGGGACACCCATGTGTTGGGACCAGGGAGAGAAAATCATTTAAAAGCAACTCCAATAACTGGTTTGACATGGGGCTATGTTCAAGGCTCTGTACGTGTATTTGAGGATGGTATCCCAAAGGAAAGATGGAAAAGTAGGGTAAAAGGTTGAGGCTGATTACCTATTAATCATTTTGATGTACAAAGAGGCTAAAGGCTTAAATTAAAATTTTCAATCTATTATCACATCCTGTCTTTTAAAAATTTATGAATGAGCCCAGTCTGTGTGGCTCAGTGGACTGAGCATCGTCCCATGCACCAAGAGGTCACTGGTTCGATTCCTGGTCAGGGTGCATGTCTGAGTTGTGGGCTTGGTCACCAGTAGACGGTGTGCAGGAGGCAGCTGATCGATGTTTTTCTCCCATCAATGTTTCTATCAATCTTTCCCTCTCCCTTCCTCTCTCTAAGATCAGTAATTTTTTTTTTTTTTTTTTTTAATTTATGAATGAGGAGAGGAGCCTACAGAAATCCCTAAAGGACAAGAATTCAGTCTTTTGGTTACACAGTGATGCTTTGCAGAGTAGCCACAATACAGATGTACTGAAGCTACTACGGCCCGGGGGCTGGCCCCAGTTCTTTCTGGAAGCCATCCACATTTTTAATTTTTCACTACCTTACTAAATATAAAGTGCCACACCAAATCATTTAAAACCCACATGTCACTGGGACCAAGCCCCATTAAAGATGCCACTCCAAGGAGTGTGGTCGGGGTTGGCTAGCCAGGACCCACAGGAAAACTGATTATGATTGGAATTTGTCCACTCCATAGCACCTTCAATGTATTTCAGAATTAAAAGACAGTACAAGGAAGCAGCAATATCTCATTTGACTTAGTCACCTGAGTCAGAGCAACAACTTTTCTCAGAGCAACAACTGTTATTCTTTCACCTGCTTCTGAGAAAATGGAAAAGTTATAATTTGAATCTAATGGGATTTGGGATTCTTATTTAGAAACTAAATCTTAGTGGTGGAGGCCACCTCTTCCGCACTCGGTAGAGTGCAGGCAGCTCAGAAGGAAGGGGCCTTGTGTACTTGAACCCGTGCTTTGTTTTATACTTACTATCTGTTTTTCCATCAGGTTCCAGGCCAGAATCACACTGCACAGTTTTAACCCAAATACACAGCTAAGGACATGCTGCTTCCTAGGTTACTAACTGCAAAGAAAAACACCTGCCTGCAACATACCTTCAGACCCATTTCTTCGTTTCGGTACTTCCTGAAATAGTCTGTTCAGGCTCTGGCCTGGATTCTCTGTTGAAAAACAAGTGTGGTAAGAACAAAACAATCAGGGGGATGGTGGTGTTGACGATATGGGCTGCGTGACATGAAATCTGAGTCACCTGTGACTACCGAGAGGGCTCGGGGTTTCCTGTGCAATTTGGGAGCTACTAGAAAAGTCCGAGAGGCCCTTCCCTGGCTGATGGGCCTCAGAGGCCATGATTCTGCTGCAAAAGGAGATCAGACGGGCCTGCGGCCTGCGGCCCCGATGCCACCAGGGCAAACAGAGGGAGCGCTGCCTCCAAGTGACTCGCCCACCAGCCCCCGGGACAAAGCTCACATGAATCACCCAAAGACAGTTACCATCGCCATAAAAACCTCGATGTGCTTTGTGAAAATTTGACGTTGTTTGAATTCTCCCTTTGATTTGTTTTTGAGCCTAAATTTCAATGTTTTTCAAATGTGTCTAAGATTATCTATCACTGTTGGTTTAGCAGAATGATCCCCTGCTGTTAGAGAGGGAAGGAATTCTTTCAATTTAGGGACCACACTGACTTTTTATCTTTTTATGGAGGGCGGGGTAGGAGGGGGTTTTAATGAAAGTTTCATGTATTGAACTCAAGGCAGGCATGATTGGCTTATAATGCTAAATAAATCACTTAATAGAACGGAAGCACCGGGAGCGAGTTGGCCACAGGACACACCCCCTTCTGTGTGGCGGGAGAGAGGACACACTCTCTCCACGGAAGCAGCTCTGTGTGAGGATGGACCCCAGCTGCTGCTGCTGCTCTAGGGCTGGTTGGTACCTCAGGGACTCCTCCTCAAGTGAGGCCAGCACCCAAGGCCAATCGATCACTGGACACTAAACACGTCGAGATAATGTACGTAAAGTAATTCTACCGATTCAATGCACAGTACTGAAATACTGAGTTTACTACACGTGAAGTGATGAGTGGGTTTCAAGAGGCTGGATCTCCCAAATCTAACAACTTTTACTCTTGCCAGTTGACCCTTGAACTCTGGAAATTGCAGAGCCGAAGAGAATTTTATGTGATGTGATGCACAAATGTTTCATCACAGACACACAGACAGCACTCTGTGACAGGCTCACACGCTGGTGCCAACCCATGAAAGTCTCTCACCTCTTTGTCTGCCTTGGATGCTGCGAAGAGCCAGGATGTTCTGCTCATCCGAGAGGAACTGCTTCATCTTGTGGAAAGGCTCCTTGCCGCGAACGGTCAGTTTATTCCATGGTTTGGGCCGGGCCAGAATCTCGCTCACGGACCCTTGAGACAGTCCCAAGACATAATGTCCAAAAATGCGCTGTCCAATATTGTGCTTGATCAACTGCTCTTTCACCTGCCGGGCGATTTCTGCAGTGTCTATCTCCTCGCCCTCGGAGACGCTCCCAGCACTTTCTGACTGGCTGGGAGACGGGGCCATGCCATTTACATCTGGGCTTTGTTGTAATGGACTTGGGGAAGATATGGAGTTTGTGCTGTATGGACCTGTTGAAAAAATCATGCTTGTGCTTCCTGCTTCCTGCATGGCCTTGGAGTAGAAGGACTGCATTAGCTGTCGTTGGAGGAGAGAGTTTAGTGCAAATTTTCCCGTAGAAGCCAGGGGTAGGCTGGGGCTTGCCAGGGATGAGCTGAAAAAGTCTTGAGTTAACCCCGCTGGTGAGAACTGGTGTGTACCATTAGTATTGGAAGCCTGCTCCCCCATGTTGCGGGGCAACTGAGGAGGGGGCGCCGGCAAAGGTCCAGGACGCCGACTCTCAGGCTGGTCTTTCCCTTTTCTCCTGGCTGACCCTACAAGGAAGGGCAAACATAATGCATTATGGGGGATTCAAAAGGGAAAAAAAACCAAGACCAAAATGCAAAGTTTGCCCCACATAGGGAAAAAAAGTGCATATTTTACAAGGGCCAATGAGCAGTGTTGGTTTGTTTTTCAATTGAATTTTTAAATCAGCCAAACAAGGCCCCCCGGAAACAAGCAACATGCATTTCATGTTTGCACCTTTCTTGTACGTTGCAGCCTGGAGAGTCCCCTTGACATAGATTCAAACTCCTGAAGTGACAAGGAGCCGGTACCACACACAGTAAAGAGTTGACAAGTCGCGGGCCTCTGGCATTTGAGCTATTACCAGGAGAGCCCCACCTGAGGAGCAGCAAACACTGACATTTTGGGACCAACAGATTCTCTCACACCACTTGCTCGGAGGCGAATGCACTGCACCGAGTCCACTCGATCGAAGGCACGCACATTTTAAGAGTGAAATATCATCAGAGCCCAAGACACTTTTAAATGGTTTACCAGCTGCCAAAACCAGAAGCAGTCAGTGACGCCACCATTTTGGGATGAGCAAAGAAAGGCTAAGGATGGGGGATGTGTTCCCAAGAAAAACCTGACGAAGGAAGAAAGGCTCCATGGAGCCTGGATGGGCAGGGCTGACCTTGCCCGCAGGCCCCAGAACACCACGAGAGAGAGGCCACACAACTAGGCAAAGATCAGAAAGCCAACATCCTTCCAGTGTCCCTCCTGTGATCTGCAACACTGGCCCTAACTGACCTCCGCAGACACTCTGCAGCCACATGTCTCACCTTGACCGACTTTAAGCAGGCGGGGGTGGGGGAGGAGAGGAGCAGTGAGGAGGACGAGGAGACCAAACACTTATTAGTCACAGTTCTCATCAACTGGTGATGTTCCCGTCATGCATCGGCCCAGACTCACGGTTCACACCTTCCTCTTCCTCGATCCCCGGAAGGGACCGAGCAGGGCTCGTGAGAGCCTGTCAACCTACCGCTCAGGTCGCTGTTGGAGATGCGCAGAGAGGCGTTCTCGGACTGCAGCGAGCGGTTCTTCTCCAGCAGCAGCACCTCCAGGGGCTTGGATGCGTCCTAGACAGGGCAGAGTGGGGCTCACTGTGGGCGGCCACTCCCCACTCCTCAGGCCTCAGACCCTGCGTCCACACTGCTCCACGGCTTCCCACCAAACACGTTACAGAAATCTGACTTCTCCCGATGGTGACTGACACACGCATGGAAAACACTCAGGTTCCTTCCCAAAATAATTCATTCCAGTTGAAATAATTTTTCTTCTTCTAGACAACTATTCTCTATTTTATCCCCAAATTCAAGTGGTCTAAACCTACGTCTCATCTGGCAATAGTATTGGCTGCAAAGCCATATACCTGTCAGAAAGTCATTGTAAAGGTGCCAGCCACAAAGAGTTAGTGTTATAGGCATCAGGAGCAGGATTCCATGAGATTACTTAAATTTTAGTTGGCTACCAGATTATCAAGTGCTATTGTCACCTTGCCTCTGTAGATAATAAAAGGACCCAAGCCAGCCTTTCTAGGCTGATCTTTAACACAATCTGAAATTGTTTTTTTCAAGTTCTTAGTACCAACTTAAATCACAATTTCACTGAAAATGAGTTACCAGTTTGGAAAACACTAACTTTTCTTTTTAAATAAAGACAAATTGCTTTAACTCGGTTAAGTGTTCATGAGGCATTATTGGCCAGCTAAGGGCGAGAGGTCTCACAGAAATATCGAGATAATGAAGCTTGCCTAGAGACAAAAGTGACATGGCCATGCTGACACTCATACACACTAAAAGCAAATGTACCTGTGTCCCAGCTCCCTCGGACGGTGCAAACTCCATGGACTTCAGAATACTGTGAAGAGCAAGACAGGGCGGTTATTTCCTGCTCTGACCTTTGTTCACAGCCATACTAACGAGCATCAACATCTCAGTTTCCTGTTCTCTGGGACCAAAGGATCTGACAACTTTAACAACTTCCCTGGCAGCATTATAATCTGATAATGTCTCTAGAATAACTACTCAACTAGCAGTTGGCCAGCAAAAGTTTCTTGCCCGGCATGTAAATCATTCCATATGGAATCACACCAGGTCTGTTCCTAGTATAATTTTAAAGCTGAACACAGGCATAACATTGATGCAAGTGGAATGTATTTGTAAAGCTTAGTGGGAATGAAAGCGTTGGTACAAGGAAGTCAGACAGAGAGAGAGAGAGAAATCTGAGCACCATATAGGGCCATCACCCTATATGCTCAATTGTAGCTGGCACCTGGGCACAGGGAAATGGGCAAAGAGCATGGCCCCACACAAAAGCTGGCACAGACCTTCTCTGCAGCCCTGGGCTGGGGAAGGAGAATCACTGCAAAGATGTGGGAGAGCAGGTTTATTTCTCCTTATCATTGAAATCACACCAGTCTCTAGCCTGTTTCAACAAGCCGGAGAGCTGAGTGAGGTTAGGTGCCCAGAACTGCTGTTTCCAGTATCTCTTTAAAATGGACATTGCTTTCTTTCTGTGAGTCTATTGGGGAAGAAAGGGCAAATGAGTGAGTGCTCCCCTCACACACTCACTTCCCGAAGGAGGGAAGGTGCTAATGAGGGTGGGCTGTGCATCTCAGGCATGGGCCACCCGAGTTCTGCCAGCATTCTCAAAGCCATGACGTCAGCCTCTGCCTCTTTAAGCTCATGGAAGTGTCACTAGAAGAGCAGTGTGCAAAAATGCTAAGGGTCCCGGGAGACCACTTTCTGCCAAGCCACCACGAGGATCAGCAAGCAGCCGACTGCTCTTAGTTTCCCACTGGTTGTGCCTTCGTGGTGTCCCTTGTCATGTAAGCTGATGAACAGCACTAGAGGAGCTGGTGTGGGCAGGCCGTGTAGCTGTAGTTCACGGAGCGCTGTAGGAAACACTAAAGGACTTGGCCTCACCCACCAGACAGATGCCTGGAACCTGCTCTTTCTCGGTGGCCACCAGGTTGCTCACAACTCTATGCTTGCCTGAGAGCTTCCTCAGGACCACGTAAGAGAAGATGTTGTCTCCAAGTTCATAGTGAAACACCGGTGTCTCTTCATGGAGTTAACATATTTACCGAGGACCTATGTGCCCAACACTGGAGAATCAGAACCACTCCTCTCCTCATCCTCACGAACAGTATGGGCTCTTTCGGGGAAGACAAAACCCAAAGAGCATGGGAAAGAGAAAACGGTGGGGCCCTTGGCAGGAGAGACCTCATCAGGCTGGAGGCAAGGTCTGTCTGTTGAGGAGTTAAGAGTCTGAGTTGGGCCTTGAAGGAACAGGATGCTTTAGCGGCCACGGCAGGGTGTGGAAACACCGGCATAGATGGGAAGAAAACATGAGCACGTTTCTGAAAAAGCACTGAAATCACTAGGAAGTGAGAGGCCAAGGACACATTTTATCAGGAAAACCACTGAGTGGGGTGGCTGTCAGATGCTGACGTGTTGGTGGGGGCTGTGGTGTGCAGATGCGACAAGAGGGTTGGCAGGAAGGTGGAAGGGTGCTCTGGGAGGAATGAGGGCCAGTGAGTAGGTGGGTAGACAGGAGGAACAGACCAGGGAGAGCTACAGGCTGGAGTCAGGGAGCCTTGGTTCCTGGGAACGGAGGCAGTCGGATTGGGGGTGTGGGACTGATCTCAGCCTGGGAGGACGGGGTCTTGGGTGAAGGCCTTCACATCAGTTCCTCTGATTCAACACTAGGGGATGGAGCACATTTTCTTTCTTTTGAGGAGGGAAGAAGATGGAAAGGAAGGGAAGGTTGGATAGGAAGGCAGGTACAGAAGGTCAACCTGGTAAAAAAAAAAATATACATCCCTGAGTTGGAAACGGGATGAGGGAGAGTAAAGGGTTTGAAGAAACCAGAGCTATAGAGAGGGTTAGAGGTCGGCCAAGAAGGTCCTGGCAGAGGCTGTGTGGCAGAGGGAGTGAGGCTGCACAGGACTGAGCAAAGAACATGGAGGCACCTCACCAGGGAGGCTGGGGTCATGGCTGAGGGACGGCTCCTGGACGTGGCGGTGAGAAGGTTGGAGAGGCCTAATGGGCTTTCCTAGCAGACCCGAGGAGCGGGATTAAGAACACCAAGCGAGTTGTATATACTTATTTTAAACGAAGAAACTGAAAGGAGCTGATAGAATAGCAGGAAGGAGTAGGAAGGGAGTCAGGGTCCAGGTGGAGGGGTCAGCCTGGAGATAGGAGAAGCCGGGACAGGAGTATTTCAAGGCAAAGGGGGAAGATGCGGGGTGTCTGTCTCCTCTGCAGGGCAGAGCACCAGGGTGTCAGTTGAAGGTTCAGGTGGGGACACCAGGATCCCTGGGCAGCGCAGAGGCAGAGCCAAGGCAGCAGCGGAGAGAACACAGCCTGCAGGGACTGGCTCACACATCACAGTGACTTCCTACCAGGATTTGATGACCTGGCCATGGAGGCGGGGGAAGCCCAGGGCAGACTCCGTGAGGCCAGGCTGTGTGCTCTCTGAGGAGGCTGCCCATGAGCTGCAGGCGAGGGGAGGAGGTTGTGAGCTTGGAGGGTGCTAGAATTGGGGGACAGGTTAGGGCCCAGAGCCTGGGAGCCGCAAGAAGGCCAAGAATAGGCCCTGGGGAAGGAGTTTGAGGCAGGAGGGCCAGGCTGGGTGGTGGGCCCTGAGGAGGGAGTGTCTGAGCTTGAGAATGTAGCACTAGCACAGAAGGGACAACACTCTCAGATGCTGCCTCTCGGGTGGGAAACTGGAGGTTGGGAGATGAAAGTCCTGGAGTCTAGGCAGCCAGGGAGGTGGGAGGCCAGGGGTACTCTTTCGGTTGGAAAAGTTTCCCTGTTCTGCTTCGGCATGGGGGATTTATAACTGAAAAACAAGCTCTTATTTTATAATGTCTAAAATGGCAATAACTTCCAATTCTGTGCATACTGGTCTACTTAAAATGCACAGTTTTATAAAAAGCCCAATAATTCAGGCACAGGCCTCAGGGCAAACACCCAGGGCGGCCCAGAACACGGCCCTGTGGTGCAGCGTCTGCTGATGCTGCAACCAAGGATCTGAGGCTGCCCGCTCACTGCCACGGTGCTTTTGGCAAGTGTCCCCGCGAGCTCTGGCTCATGAGTGGCTGAGCAGGCGTCTCATACTTACTTGAGTTCTTTCTTCACCTCTTCATAGTCAGCCTGTCCTTTGAGTTTTTCTTCCAGTTGCTGAAAACAGAGAGGGTTTTATTAGTTGCCATGTCTGAAATAGGTCAATGGACTCTGCTATAAACTGTTTGTGTCCTTCTGCCACACACACACACACACACACACACACACACACACACGCACACACACACACCCCCCTTCCTGGCAATGCATATATGTTGAGATCCTAACTTCCACTGTGATGGATCTGGAGATGGTGATTAGGCCATGAGGATGGAGCCCTCATGAGTGGGATTAGTGGCCTTATAAAAGTGGATCAAAGAGGTCCCTCGCCTATTCTATTCTGCAGACACAGAGAGAAATAAGCAGTCAGGAGGGAGCTCTCACTAGACACCAAATTTGCCAGTGCCTTGATCTTCGATTTCCCAGCCTCTAGGACTGAGAGAAATAAGTGTTTATTGTTTATAAGTCCCCCAATATATGGTATCCTGTTCTGGCAGCCCAAATGATTTCACTGACTACATTCCTTGTAAAGCATCCAGCGGTCCCTGAGAGGCAATGCAAAAATGTACAAATGAAAGTTGATAACGTGTGGTGTCGTCTTTTTTTCTTCACTCTGTGGTCTGGTGTGAGCACATATGTTAGTGGACACAGGCATTCACGAATTCACACACACACACACACACACACACACACCCTCACACAGTCAATATAAGGCTGCAACATAAAATTTGGAAAACAATAAGGAAAAGGCCATTTTGTACGAATACCATGAAATGACAAACAGAATGAAGAGATGCTCTCCTAGTATTGTAAAAACAGCAAGTGGCTTTTCACAAGCCACGTTTGGCTAGCTGATACATACAGTCAGTTGCCAACACCCTTGTGGGGCCCTGCAAACCAAAGATACAGCCCCTCTGTTGCGGAGGCTGCCATCAGACAGGCACCAGGAGAAAGCACTTGCAGGAGCAGCAGCCTGTTCGTCTGGGTGGTCAGTGTTTCCGTGACAGCTCTGAACCCTGTGGGGAGGGCCTCCGAGGGTGCCCTGGCCAACAGGGCCCCAGCAGATCCTGATGGCCCCGCAGAGGAAGGCGAGGGGCTCTGCCCTGGGGTGCAGGGGAGTGAGCACATTTCCCAAGCAGGGCGCTGCTCTAATAGGCTCCGGTGGAGTCTGTGTGCTCGCTGGGTATTCACTGATGGCTTCAGCACAGAGCTAGACAGGCTTTCCTGCCAGGACAGCCTTTGGCACAGGGAGGTCAGCAACGGTGCTTCCCTCTATGAAGGTGTTTTGGACTAGTCTGCTTTTTTGTCCCCACTAGGGAGCTCTGTAGAGGAAATAAGCAGCTTAATAAAAACACAAAGACCCAGGTTGAGGGGAAGGGTTCTAATTACTTAGTGTGTTTCCAAACCCGGGTGAACAAATTCCTGGGCCTGAATCAGAGCACCTCCCCATCTCCAGGCACCTTTGGCCTGACCAGCCACAACTGCAATCTCAGTTTAGAGCCAATGGGGAACATGCTGGAGCTGAGGGAGGAGATGCTCATGTGGCCATCAACTTGGACATTTGCCTGAATCCCACCCTGCTTGCTGTTTCAAGAATTCAGGTGTTCTGTAAACAAAAGTCATTTAGTCCATTTTTCTACTGCATTTACTGGCAGTTTGGTGTATTTTCCATTGCATAAAATTGTGCTGCCCTAGTTCCTTTATAAGACCTCTTGCCAACGTTATGTTTATAATGGTTTCTCAGCCATAATCAAGCAGGGGGTAGCATGCACTCATTTTCTGACAAAAGATTCTCAGAAGGTGCTCATGAAAAAATGATTACTTCATTCTTCTCTTTATGGTGGAATAGCAGGAAGCACTAATGTGCCAACCCTCCCAAACAAAAGATTATCCGGTGCTGCTGGGATACAGAAACACTTTTCAGATTGAGGAATTCACTGATGCTGGATACGATACACATAAAACTTGGTCATGTTCAGAGATCAGGAGAAAGGAAGGAAGCGAGAGGGGAAAACATGGAGCACTTCAGAACCCAGCATGTCAGTGAACCTGGAGTCAGTTCTGCCTCTTGCAATTTCGGTGACCTTGACATGTTAATAAACTTCTGGTCCGTAGAATGGGATAGCAGCAATGACCTTAAAGGGTTTAACTAAGGGGCGCAAAGGCAAGGACCTGGTGCAAATGTTGGCATGGTGGGCCGTGGATGTGGGACCATTACCATTGCCAAGTCCCAGCCTATTTTTCTGAGAGCACAATTCCAGGTCTTTTTTGCAGACCTGAGGTTGGCCCCGATCAGAAGACTCTAGGACTGGAGTCTGTAATTTGGTTAGGTATAAGCATTCACTGAGAACTAAACAGCTTCCACTGAAATTTCTGCCACCACTTTAATTAGGAACTCAAGACCACGCCTATAAAACTGATGATGTCTCTGCTCGTTGGGCAAATGGATGGAGGTCTGACCAAGCTTGTCCTGACCTGTGAGAACTTCAGCCTATCCTCACAGAATTCTCCACAGAGTGCCAGGAAGCATAGGTTGGGGCTGAGCATTGGCCTCTGACACTGTAAATGCCCATCATGGAAAAAAGACAAAATGTCCTCATCTCAGTTCTTTGACCAGAAACTCCTTGTTGAGTACCTGGAAAGTCTACTTCCAAGACTCAATTTGGAAAGGGCAACAGGTGCTTCAGTCTGCCATTCTCGTTGGACAAAGATTTCTCTATCAGAATTGCTAATGCTCACCAGGTAGGCCCAATTCTATGCTTGGTTCTGCATCTACTTAATTGTTGCAGCACCCTGCAGAGGCATCTATCTGTCTGACCGAAGGAAGAAAAATAATCACTGAGTTCTACAATCAGACCTCATCAGAGCGGAGGCCACCCTGTTCGCCCGTAGCAACTCGGGGAGGAAGTGAAAGGCTGGTGTGCTGAGGCCAGGCAGTGCCGGCTGCAAAGCCATGCTGAGCCTCACAGGCTGGGCGGCACCTCGCAGATGCAGGGAGACCTTCACAAAACACACTTAACTTCTCTAGGCTTCAGTTTGTTCATAAATGGGGGCAGTGATGCACACAGCACCGTGCTTCTGTGAGGCTTCAATGAAATAATGCGTATTAAGTGCTTAGTGCAGTGCTTGGCACATGGAAAAGCACTTGGCAATGGCAGTTATTGTTACCCTAGCTATTATTACTTTACCCTTGAATGTGACTAAATTGTTTCTGAAGAGGCTCTGTGGTTCTGAATTCAGGAGCTCTGTTTATGACGTTCTCCACATCCCAGTGTCATCTCTCAATGTCCCCATTGTTCTGTGGCAGATCCATGGGGGAGGAACACAGGTGCCTGGAGCGGTTCTGGCTCCTAAATGCTGATGGCAGGAAAGGCAGCCCACATCCAGTTCCATGAATGCAGACTTTGGAAGCCAGATTATCTTCCTGAAAAGGTACTTATCTGAGCAACACACACGGGCTTTATACAGACAGGCGAGAAATGGCCACATGACAGAAACAGGTTGCTAGCTCAGTTCCAGCCTGGCTGAGCTGTGACTGTACTGGCCGCAGCGAACACACTTGGGACAGTGAAATGAAGAAGGACACAGAAGAAGTAACAGGAGAGCCTAGGCTGGGTTGCTTTGGTTCACTGGGAAGTCAGAGAAAGGGGGTTAGGCCAGGATGAGCTGTGCTGCTCATTGCTCCCCTGGTTGCAAATCTTGTGGGTTTCCTTCGAGTTTAGGAGATGAAGGCCTGTGGGGGAAGGAAAAGGGGAGACAATGGCATGGGCTTCCTGTAGGGGAGAGGACGCTATATGAAGTTCTTAAATTCCTGGCTAAGACTCAAATATAAGACAATTTAATTAAAATGCAAAGTATTTTGGTGTGTAGCAAATTAGGCACTTATAAACGGTATCTATCTTAGTTGTGCCACAGGGCTTTCCATGCTCTGGGCTACCAACTTAAGAGGCCCCTGGCACGGGACACAAATACAAAGAACCTGGGGAAGGCCTCATCTTCCAGGCTGCACAGCGAGGGGTCAAGACAGCAACCCCTTTTTGCAATAAAACAGACTGTGGGCCAGAGAGGTGACTATGGTGTAGTCCGCAGACAGCTCCACCTTCCTCCTCCAGGATGATCGGAGCCAGGCTCTTAGCAGTGCTGTCTGAAGACTGGCAGTTCAGGTGATACGCCTGGTACTCACTCACCTGGGACCCTGGGCTGAGGGGCCACCGGTCAGAGCTGATCAAGTGTGACCGGGGTCCCTAGCCCAGGGCAGGAGTTTGAGGCAGAGCTCCTGGGGTTGATACAGATTTTCTGGGGTCCAGGACTAGGTAGTGTATGCCTCCTTTTCACCTAAACGGGGACCCCCTCCGGTCCCCACTGTTCCTCGGTGAGAGGTAGGATCTACAGATGCTGGGCAAGGGGGAGAAGCCCAGGGATGGCTGGGTGGGCGCTGTGCACACATGGATGCTGAGAATTTGAGACGAAAAGAGGAGACTGTAGCCAGAAAGGGAGTTGGCGGGGAGAGTGACAGTTATGCTGGAGCGCCTGCTGCAGGCGGGAGAAGGGTGGCTCTGGATAAAAGAGGAGTCCTTCTATGGTAACCGGGTCACAGGTCGCCTCCAACTTCCTCCAGCTGTGACCTAGGTGTGACCCAGGTACAGGGCGGAATGGTGACATCACACAGCAGGAGGGTACTGGCCCTATACAGGCCATCTGGACATTGTAATCGTGGTCAGCTAAGGGTGCTGCAAGCTGGGGACTATGCAAGTGAAAAACCTGGATTTACTCACCAAGTGACGAGAGCACATGCATCTTTGTAAGAGGATTCATCGTAGATTCCCCCCGTGAGCTCCCTGATGCATCTCCAGTAACACCCTCTGGCTCACAGCGATTTACAGGACACCACTGAAACCTCCAGCACAGCCCTTCTGGTTTCTGGAGATTGCTTCCCCCGGGCCTCACCACTGCTCTCTCTGAGTGGTGCCATCTTTGCCTTCCTCCTCTCCATGGAAAGCTCACTGACCTTTCCTCCAATCTGCTCACGGTGCCCTCAAGACCCAACCAGGGCAAGGCTCCGGGAGGTCGGTCCTAGGCTCCTCTGCTTTCAGGATGCAGATGCCCCTGCCGCCCAGGGCAAGTCTCTCTATGGTGGAGGGTGGGTGCAGTGGAGGCACATGTGGGTCTCCCACATACAGCGCCGGGCTAGAAACTGCAGGGCCTGGCCTCCCCTAACCCTAGTGACCTCCTCCACAAAGCAGCGATCGTCATGACCGCTTGCCTGTGAGTGTCAAATGGGATGTGGAAGTTAGAGCTTTATACACTGCACTGTTGCTAAGATGCTTGTTAAAACATTATAGAGGGCAGCCTTTATGCAGAGTCAACACACTGCCTGGTGAAGAAACTTATGTAACCAAAGAGGCAGCGTTCAGAATTAAAGGCATGGAATGACTGTAGAGAAGTAGTCTTTTGTTCCCATCCCAACCTCCTAAGGGACACAGCATGCTCTACAGTGGCTCAAGAGGACCACCAGCACGTCAGGAGGTGGGGTGAGGGGCCCAGAGGGTGGGGAGGCATGCACAGCTTAGAGACAGTCCTGCAGGTCACTGTAATACACCTGCCCAAAGATGTAATTTCTTTCTATGGGAGAATGGCATCCTTTTAGCTATCTTTTCTTATAAATGTAATTTTAAATGGAAGCTTTTGGTAGCAATGTTTTCGGTGCTATAGTGAGAATAATGTAGGTGACTGCCTAATTATATTGCCTCTACTTAAAAAAATTATTTTATTTTTGTCTTCACCCAAGGAGTGAGAATATTTTTTCTACCGATCCTCTACAGAACGGAAGGGAGAGGCACATTAACCGTTGCTTCCCGCACATGCCCTGGGGAAGGGGAATGAACCTGAACCTAGGTGTGTGCCCTTGATCTGAATTGAACCCTTGACCCTCTGTGTGCACACAATCTGATGCTCTTACCACGGAGCACACCGTCCAGGGCTATACTGACTCTGTTTTAAAGTATCCCAACAGAAGACCACAGAATAGAATTATCAAGAATTAATGGGTTATTTCATTAATTACGAATACAGAATTGTATGTTACAAGTAGCATTGTAAGGCAGAAGGAAACATCTCCTGCTTCTGAGTCCATTTCCATGTCTATTTGAAGGCTGGAGGACGCACCACTGTATATGGAGTGATAACGTTTATGGTGAACTTGGCTTGAAAAAGCGAAACCCGGGGAGGGAGAGACTGTAAACATCCAACTGTCAAGTTAGCCTCAAAACATTACAAATCAGTTGTCTAAGTGAAGGGAAGAAATCTCATTCATAGAGATTGTGAGCTTCAAGGTGCTAGAGCAGGTGACCAATTAGCCCCCAGAACCATTCCATTACAGAGAGCACCACAGAGTGTGCCGGCAGAGAGACGACTCTCATAATCTCAATAGTCTAAAGATTCTGCCCTTATGCCGTCTGCCCTTGTGAGACCAACCTCCCCCATCCCACCCGTGACTGTCATTAGCATTTGCCTCAAAGGCCATTGTTAATGTCATGGCAAAGCACCCACAACTCCAAGATGCTGAGGTGGCTGGAAGCTGCCGCATCCTCAAACTGATCCCAATTTGAGTGCCACACAGTGTCCCCAAAGCTGGACAATATGGACCAAGAAAGAAAGGGCGGGGGGGGGGGGGGGGGGGGGGGGGAGGAGTAAGAGAGGAGAGCCCCAGTAAGTTCAGGACAGCTTGCTGCTGCTTCTGTGCGGCCACCACTGCTGGGTCACAGACCCCTGTTGCAAAAGCATCAGACTGTCAATTTGATAGGCCTCATTCATAAAATATTTTCCTAATAATTGTACCACTGCTTAGACCCTGCAGTTTAGATTTGAGACTATAAATTATACACATTAGGGGGGGAAGGAGCCCTGGGAAGGTATCTCATTCAATTAACCTTACTCCTTAGGGGAAGGCTAATGTCTTTTGTGTGCAGTTCGATATTGGGGAGGTCTTCACTCCTGGCGAGAAGGGGTTAAGATAATTAAAACTAGAGAGGTCTTGTTACTAGAGGATATGTTTTGATTATTAGATCAGATGAAGATAAGGGAGCAATAATTTTGGAAGAAGTATTGCCGAATTGTTTCATTAACTGCACAGTATTAAAGATTTCCCCCAAGATATGGATAAAGAACATTCATTTGTGAAAACTGTGTTTCATTTTTTGTGAAGGCAAACATTAAACCTTAACTGGTTTAGAAGAAATTGCTCTAGAATAAAAAATGCAAGGTCTACAGCCTCCCTCTTACGAAGCCCAATGCAGAATGCATTTGAGTCAAACCCTTTAATGGTAACAGAGGAGAGAAAGGCAAATTATCTAATAATAATGCCAATGCTAGGGATAGAAATGGCTGTAACGAGAAAATTAGATTTAATCTAGAAATAAAAAATGAGCACTAGTACTCACTGAGCAGGCTGATGAGAGAAAAAGACACAATGAAGAAATAAATGCCATGGTTGATGACAAATGTGACCAGGTCTCAGACATCTTCCCAGTCACAGGATTATCTACTCCAAGAAGCCCAGGCACCTGGCAGTTTCTTGGCTGTGGGCTCTGCCAGTACCAGCGAGTTGTTGGGAACTTAACTCTGGGTCAGAAACATGGTCACGTATCAAGAAGAAAACTTTCAATGGAAAAAAATCAAGATGGCCCTGACTACATTCCAGAATTACTCTATATAAGAAAAAGTTGTCCTGACATTTTTATAATTAAAGCTTGATCCACCTTATTTAGCATACAATGATTATACTTGGTATTCATTCATTCATTCATTCATTTGATCATGCATCCCACAAACGGATGCTGAGTGGGGGCAGGAGGAGGCCCAAGTGGGCCTCGTGGAGGGACAGCAGAGTGGGGAGGAGGAACGTCTGGCCTGGGAGGGGCTGAGCCTGTGTGGTAAGATACTCTGAGGAGGCTCTCTGGCTCTGACATGCTAGGAATCTAGGGTTCCTGGACCATCTTCAAATTACACTAAGTAACTTCAAATAAAGTATATATATTTCAATATAATGAGAAATATTTCAGGTTCTGCATTTGGGACACAAAGTTATGAGAAATCCCATGAGGATCTAGCTTTTGTCTGGGCTGCTGGGATTCTGCCTGGGAGGAAAGAGGCCAACTGTGTGGGCTGTATTGGAGTAACACATTTTGGGCTGCTGTGGTACAGCCCAGGCCTGAGGGATAAAAAATGATCTTGCAGCTTGAGAGTATGGCCCAAGGGGCTCAGGAAACCCCTTGCTTTCATTTCCTCTGGGCACAGGCAGAGCTCACATTTCAGTGTGCCTGGGCAGCCCAGCGGAGCTGACTAATGGCATGTTTATGCAGACGGCCTGCGAACTTGACAGCCACTCTTATCCACTCAAGAAGCACGCAGAGCCTCCAGGTGCAGCAATGCCAGCTGCAGCTCTCAGGTGGAGAAGTAGTGACGTGGGTGGGAGGGCATTGAGGATGGGGTTTCTACCAAGTGCTGAAGATGCTGCCCAGGTTGGAGCTGGCAGAGGGGGTTCAAAGCCCACAGAGGTTCATGGTTGCCATATTTGTTGGCAATTCTGATGTGATGCCTTCCACAAAAGAACTCTGATGGAATTTAGACACCCATGCTTCTGACTGTGGTGCCCCAGGGCGCCTCATGCCTTGTCATTCTGTGCTGACTGGAGGGAAAAGCTTGTTGATGGTTGGAGTTCAGACTAAGAAATATCCATGCAGTTACTTTTGCTTTTAAAAGAGATAGAATTTTAACCATTGCCTTTGCAGACCACTAAAATAAGAATACCTGTGCGATCAAGGCAGGGCCAAGAAGGCAGCTTCTGAGACAAGGCCTCCTGCCATGGTCACTAAACCCACTGGGTGTCCCAGACGCTGGGCAGAAGCATCCATGAAGAGCTCTCAGGGTGGTGGGAAGCCAGAACCACCATGCAGGCCAATCCCAAGCTGCCTCCAGGGCCGTGTGCGGAGGAAGGCAAAGGGTACGAACGTGCACATCCAGCCCTCCCTTGCCCGCCAGCCCCCATGGTGCCCTTACTTTGAGTGTGCTGTTCTTGGCACTCAGCTGCTGCTCGAGCTGGGAGATCTGGCTGGCGGAGTTCTCCCGCAGCTTGGTGAGGCTAGCCTGCAGTCTCTGCACGTCCTCCACTAGCTGGGCGATTTCCCGCTCTTTGGCGGCCAACTCAACTTCGAGGCTGGAGCGGGTCAGCACCTCTATGGCCTGCTCCTGGGAAGGAGAAAGGAAATGACAAAACTGCACCAGCTCAGGCCGGTGCAGGGTTAGCTGTGCTGGCAACGACGGCAAACAGGCAGACGGGAGGATGTGGACGGTGAGCTCATGGTAAGACGTTACCTCTTGCCCCTGCTTGGAAGGACCTGCTGACTGCTTTCCCCACACCACCCTTCCATCCTCATGATGAGCTGCCATCCATCGGGTTTGTCCATTCAGCAGCATTTATGAGTATCAGGCACAGAGCAGTGGACAAACGGTGGACATCCCTTTCTTCACAGGGCTTCTAGTCGGTGGGTGGGTGAGTGAGTGCACTAAATGAATTTATTAGCAGCATAAAGTGCTAAAGAAAAGCTGAAGCAAAAAGAGGCCATAGGGTCAGACTTGAGAGAGGCCGTTGGGGTTTTAATAAGATGGTCAGTAAAAGCCTTATGAGATGGTGATATCTGTGCAAAGATCTAAAGGAGGCAACAGGAAGGGCCTGCTGGTGGCTGGGGATGAGTGCTTCAGCCAGGGCAATGACAAATGGGAAGGCTCCGGAAGGCTCCAAAACAGTCAGATCTTCTCCCACCAGACAGCACTCAATGTCTTTCGGTTCCTTACAGAGCTATCTAGATGCTATGCTGTTTGACAAATTGAATTTTAGAGTCAGCATTTTAATAAGACTTAAGAGATGTGGAAGATGCACATTTGGGGCTCCTTTGCTTATAAATTCTTATGATGATTGATTTTTTTTTTTAATCCTCACCTGAGGATATTTTTTCATTGATTTTTTAAAGAGAGAGTAGAAGAGAGAGAGAGAAAGACAGAGAAATATTGATATGAGAGAAACACATCAACTGGTTGCCTCCTGCACAAGCACCAACAAGGGCCGGGGCCAGGGAGGAGCCTGCAACTAAGGTATGTGCCCTTTGGAACTGAACTCAGGACCCTTTGGTCTGCAAGCTGACATTCTATCCACTGAGCCAAACTGGCTAGGGTATGATGATTTATTTTTTTAAAAACTTACCTCCTTCCCCAATTTGTTCATTGTGAAAAATATGTAAAACAGGGAAAAGATATTAAAAAAAAAGAAAAAAATTAAATCTGTACTTCCACTTCCTAAGAACCAAAGTAACGATGGCTCCTGAATGATTCTGGAAGCTTTTTTGCAGGGTGGATATACTTTGGGGCATGGCAACGGGAATGGGGAGGATAAATCTGTATGTGACAGCAGAGACTCAGGGCAGCTCACACTGCAGTGTAGAATGAATGCCATCATCCTTGCTGTCATCTGCTACGTGTCCCTGACTAGGGACTGAACCTGCAACCTGGGCATATTGAGACAGAGCTCTAAGCAACCGAGATACCAGGCCTGGGCTCACTTCACTCCTTGATCCTGCCCATACTGGAGTAGAAAACAGCAGCTGCGCCCTAGCCTGTTTGGCTCAGTGGATAGAGTGTCGGCCTGTGGACCGAAGGTTCCAGGTTCAATTCCGAGCAAGGGCATTTACCTCAGCTGAAGGCCAGGGCCCTGGTCAGGGCTCATGCAGGAGATAACCAATTGATGTGTTTCTCTCATATCAATATTTCTCTGTCTTTCCTGCTCTCTAAGAAAAATCAAGGGAAAAATATCCTCGGGTGAGGATTAAAAAAAAAAAAAAAAAAAAAAAAGGAAGGGCAGCTGCAGCCCCAGGTGGCAGGGACAGCCATGCCACTCTGTGCACGATGTGGGTTTTCACATTTGGGGACAGTGAGTCACCCCGGGAAATAATTTTGCACATCTCCCTCCTGGCAAACTAAGGCCCCTACCATTTAAGAATGTAAAGTTTTATGTGCAAAGAAACGATTCTTTCCTGTTTCTTTGATTTGCATACTATCAATTAGAAATTAAAAAATAAAAACAAAACTCTCCTTTACCACAGAGTTAGGGGAGCACCACCCTTGATCACACTGGACAGGTCAAGGTCAGGGGCCTAAGATGAGTCCCCTGGCAGTGCCAGGGGTTAGCACCTAGAACAGTGAAAGAAGCATGCGGAGGTGAACCCCAAGGAGGGAGAGAAGGGCACAGTGGGAAAGGGCTGGTGGATCTCATCAGAAGGAAGGGGGGCTCCATTCCAGAGGATATGCCACAGGTGGGCACAGAGGTTGGAAAGGGCACGAAGCTGGCACAAGGAGAGACTGATGCTTAGAGGCCAGTTCAGAAAAGGGCATGTTGGTGATTCTGCCTTGGAGAATCAGCGGGTGCCAGAGCTGCCTGGACTGGTGAGGGGAGTGACATTCAGGGAGGGTGGTCTCAGGGTGGGTAGAATGAACCATGTTATCTAATTTAACTTATTTATCAATTTTCTAACCTGACGGATGCCAGAATAAAAACTGTTTAAATGCTCTTAGGAGAAGAGTCTGTAAAATAAGCCAAAAGGTGATCTGGGCTTTCCAACAGGCAAGTTACTATATAAGGGGCAAGAGGTTCAAACAATACAGGGTGGGCAAAAGTAGGTTTATAGTTGTGAATGTATGAAACACGAAGTTTATACTTATTATTTTCCACATGAACTGTAAACCTACTTTTGCCCCAGCCTGTATATGTAAAGAAACGGTGTTGAATGTGGGTGCAAGATGGGAACCTGGCATAGGCAGTCCCAGAGGACCATCTGCTAAACTCCGGAGGCCCAGTGTGGCCTGGCCACAAGCTGACTGTGTGACTGTGTGAACTAACTCAGGACCCTGGGCCACAGATTCCTCATTTATAACATAGCAAAAACCATTGTGTCTTGCATAAACTAAATGAGATGAGGTGATATGCTCCAAAGCAGTAAGGCCTTGGAAATCAAATAGAAAAGATCACCCTACTCCAAGCCCAAACGTGGCTTACTCTCCTCTCATACACTAGGACATCCTTATTGTTTCACTGGGAAGACACATGGGAAACTAAGAAAGAAATTAACAGGCTGCAGGTGGAGAGGCCTGTGCCTGGATGATAGAGCTGGGGCCTCTCAGTCTGAGGACGGAGCTAGAAAGGAGGTTGCATGACGGGGTGAAGGGGGCTGAGAGGTTGGGGCCAGGCGGCTCGGATGCTGCTGAGATAATTACCTACTGAGAGGATTTGAGGAGGCCCAGGACCAGAGGTCCCCTCGTGTCCATATAGGCCTCTAACCAGCTGCACCTGAACCACTTGGGGGCTTTAGAAAACATATGGATTCTGGGCCCCACCCTGGAAACCATGGTTCAGAGGGTCTGAGGTAGGGCCTGGGACTCCCTGGTGATTCTGGTAGGGTTTGGGGTCAGAACCCTGGCTTGGACTGTAGCCTCTAAAGGACCTGTGTGTGACAAGAGTGACAAGAGGTCCCTGTGGGCACCAGAGTGAGGTCATGAGAGTCTGTCCCATGACTCCAGGCTTCCAAGACCTGTGAGGGCCCCTACATTCCTCATGGGGGCTGGGTCTCAGGTATGGAGGGCACTGATGACTCAGGAGCCAGGAGAGAATACGTGGGAATACTCTGTAGAGTCTAAGGACATTATAAAAAAAAGAAGGGCTTAAGATGATGATAGTGTGTGTGTGTGGGTGGGTGGGGTGGAGTGGTATTTCCAAAGGGAAAAATTAACAAGAAAACAGAAGTTACTGACGCACTAGTCCATTAAGTTTTATCCCTTTGAACCCATTTGCCTCCTCTCCCCCAACCTGCTTGTGTGAAATATCACAAGTTGTGCAACTGTCTAGTGAGTCCTCCTACTGAGATTAGGACATCGAGGTTGAAATAAGCTAGATAATCATCTTTTATCCTGCAGCCATTTTCATATTAAACGTGAATTAGATGCAGGAGCGCTATTCAATTGAGGAAAACCGAATTGTGACATGATGGTGCATCTAGGACCCTAGCCTGCGAGACAGATCCTTGGAGTTGAGGCTGATCATAGCTCTATTTGCTCCGGCAGGAAAGATGAGAGAAGGCTGCTTCTCTCTCACTGCCACCTCCATTCCTGCCAACACCAAGCTGCTGAGGTAGGCTGGGTCTATGCAGTGTGTGTCACTCACCTGAGAGACAGACAGGTATACTTCCTAATATTATGGTTTGCTTAGGTTTAAGAAGGTGAACAAATAATATCTGTCTTGTAACTACCTAACAAAGGACCTGCAAGTATACTGGGGTACTGGATGTGGGGAAAAGAGTAGACTTTGGAGGACAAACTTATGATCGAATGCCAGTTTGATCATTTTCTAGCTGGGTGATCTTCGGCAAATTACTTAACTCCTCTGAGCCTCTCAGTTCCCATCCCTGTGGTATGAGGACACTAAAACCTGCCTCAAAAGATCTGTGTCACGAGGTAGCAATGAAGCAACCGCACAAAGCCCCAGCAGGGCCCCTCACGCAGAGCAGGTACTCTGAGTGGTAGCTCACCTTCACAAACTGGCAATTCTGGTACGACACCCAGCAGATCGGTTTGGGCCTTTGCTAGATCTATAGACTCTACTGTTTCTCTTCTGAGTCCTGCCAGCCAAGCCCAACAGACATTCCCCCGCTGGCCCAGTTTCCGGTGCCTGCTCCCTGGCTGGCTAAGCTGACTGTGGGAATGCACACCCGAGGGAGCCTGGCAGGGCCGCTCCTGGAAGACTGAACCTGTGCCATGTAAACACAGCACTTAGCCGATGATGAAGTGTTTAAGCACCCCTAGGATCCACAACTTACTCTACCTGCAAAAACATCCATTCCCTTCTGAAATGTTTTGCTTGCTACAGCCCAGAATGGTGCCAGAAAAGCTTTCAATCAAGGCACTGAGCTCAGGAGCCTTGTGGACACATTGGGATGGATGGCGTTCTCCTGAGGACCAGCATTCACCATGCAGGCCAGGAGAAGCCACACTGACTCCGTCTTCGAGGGCTTCCTCTCTGAGACACTGGGGCCAGTCCACATAAACATGGAGGAGGGGATGTTAACAAGCCGAGGACCATTTCAGGTAAAATTAGAAACAGAATCCATGAAGCATGAAGGATGTAATGGTCCCTAAGTTGAAGAACTTTTCTCCATACCCTGAGATACTTAAATCTTGTTTTATTGAATGTTCAAGAAAGAAAACAAAAATCCATTCTGAAAAGAGGTCCTGCACTAAAACTCTGCTTTAGATTCATTCCTGAGGAATAATTTAAAAGTTCTAGTCTAAGGTGGCAGAAGCTCCCCCACCCTTGAATCCTGGCGTGGCCACTGGGCGCATGCACTCTGGACCTGGGGCTTATATTCATGGAGCTTCCGTTTCCTCACCTCCATAGAGAAATAACAAAACCCCACTTACGGGGGAGGTGGAATAATGGCTGTCAAACTGACGTGTGCCCAATTGGCACATGCTCACTACAGCAGCAAGCCTCCTGATTCGATCGTGCTCTCTGGGAAGGGCCTGGCTCGTGGCTGCTTGCTCTCCCAGTGCCTATATGGGCCAGCACACAGCAAGGGCTCTGTGATTCTGTGTTAAGGAAAAGGACACCTGTGAGTGCGCTTCACTCATCATAGGCTGTCAGAGATGAAGGCAACTCAGGATCACTTATTCCTCACTCTACACACAGGAACACCGAGGGCTAGGAAGTTTAACTCCCCGGGTGTGTACAAAAGTGACACAACTGAGCTTCAAGACCAGGGCTCCTGAATCACAGATAATGATGCCAACCACATAAAAGCAATTGCTAAGGTTTACTGAGGACTTATTATGTGCCAGTTTGTGCTTTGCTCAGGTTTCTGAAACCCTTGTAAAACCCATTTTACAGATGATGAAATTGAGACTCATGGAGTTTAAATGAATTGTCCAGAGTCACAGAGGTGGGGTCTGAACCCAGAGGCGTGGCTCCTACATCCAGGCCTTTACTAAATGCTGCTCCATATAACTGCTCAGCACTGAAGGAAAGACTCTGGAATTGGATAGCTATAAGCCGCCCCGATCAAGCTGAGAAAGTTCCAGCTAAGAGAAATTTTTATCAATATTAGAAAAACTAAGGCGAAAGCACTGGGATGAGAGCCTTACCCTTCCTGAATGCCTATACTTCCGGCAAGATTTGGGGGATTTGACTCAGAGTGGGTGCTACCTTATTATCCCTTGGCTTTCTCAGCTCACCGTGAAATTTTTCTCACTCTTCAGGTCTCAGAGGAGTTAACTCAGAGGAGTTAAGTAATTTTCTCACTCAGAAGATCAAACTGCCAATTTTTTGGCAAAGCTCCAGTTTCAGATCTCCACCCATCTGCCAGCCGCCACCCCACAAGTCTCGCTGGGAAAACGTTCCCTTTGGTGATGGGATCTGTCTCCACCTCCACGCTGGGCGGGCGTCACGCTGACCACAGAGCATCAACGCAGAATCAGCAAAACTTCCTTCGACTCTATAACAAGTTCCATCCCCGAATTGTTAAAAGCATTCCCCACCAAGGCAGCAGTGTTACTTAAAACAGTCCAAAAAGGGATGTTAAAAAGCAGAGGAAGAAAGCAGCTGTAACAGAGGTACAGATGCCAGGCAGACAGAGTCCCCACAGGGCCCGGCTACCCACCACGTCCGGCGCCTTCTGGATCTGCGAGGCCAGCTGGAGAGAGTGGTTGGCTGACGAGAGCTGCTCTCTTAAGGTCTCCGCCTCTCTCTGAGCCACCTCTGCCCTCTGAAGGAAATGAAAAGGGTGAGAAGAGAAAGTACATTCAGTTTAACAACTGACAATTATTACAAGAACATTCATCAATTCATGCCTGACTGACTGTAATTGATTTTCCTAAACACTCAACCTAATAAATGCTGGAAAAAAACATAGAATGTGATGGATTTTTATTTTAAACAGTACAAGGAAGAAATAATTGAGCGATTATGACAGTAATTTAACGCTAGGAGCAAGGAATCCCCTGCTGATAGTAATGCTCCGGCCCACTGAATTTCCCAGACTGAATAAATACAAGAGGAAATGGAGTCTTTTGATTCAATTTCTTTCTCTTCTCATAGACCAAGAAGATTTTATTGCAGGATTACTCCTGGGAGTAATTCTCACGGGTAAACAGTGAATTAAAGACACTCTGGCCATTCTCTTCCTAAAAACATGCACAATGTTGTGGTTGTTTTCCTTCGGCAAGTATTTCCATAAATGTACAGGGTGTAAATGCCACTTCTTTTGTGAGGGCCAGGCTTATTTCAACACATTTAACCCTTCACCCGACAAAGTTTTCTAATGCCGATGCAGCCATTCCAGCCAGCACGCTGATTTGGGGCCAGAAGCAGGAAGTGGCCCAGGCTCACTGGGGGTGGGGAGGAACAGAGCTGACTACAGGAAGGAGGTCCAAAGAGAAATGAGTCAACACTTCTACCATTTGCATGTAATTCCGCCAAGAAAATCAATGCCACTGGACAGCCAATCAGGATTTCCCACTGAAGGGAAAGAATAGGTCACCCTGGTGTCTGTCACAGGAGAGGGCACTGTGGTGCAGGGGGCAGAGGTTGGGCATTTGGGGAGAGAGGGACCAGGGCCAGTTATCTAACTAAGCTTCCACCTTCCAACCTCCAAAACTGAACCGCCACCACGCTCTCAGAGACCTTGCAAGGATTAACATCTGCAGAAGTGCACGGTACACAGAGCTCATTCAGAAAGGTTTTATTAATGGGCTTGTCTTGATTTTACAATTACAATGAGATGAAACTCCAAGGTGGGTGAGAAATGGTAGCTGGTTCACATTGGACACGCAGGCTGAGAAATACCGTGCTCATTCTTTCTACCAGACTTACATTCTGCTAATAGAAAAGATTAACGAGAAAAGCCTGGCTGAGCAGGGCTATTTCATGTGTTTTCCTCATTTTGTGGTGTGATGTTCTGTGTCTGCTAATTGCTAGGAAAGACTGAAAAAGAGAAACAAGAAGTTAGCCTGCCCCAGTACTTGCTGATCAATCTTGCTGAATAAGAACGGGCTGGCAGCTTTATCCCATCATGTGACGGCAGCACAAATCTATCTGCTCTGCCTACAGACAAATTAGGATATTCCCAAGAGCAGTTACTTCTGCCAGGGTGGTGCTGATGGCCGCCTGCCCTGCCTCTCCCTGAACTCTTGGAATTGCATTCAATCGAATTCGCCCAGCGCCTGGCCGGGCCTGTCTGTGTTCGGGAGCCGCCTCCCTCGCTCTCTGCTCCAGAGCCTGTAGAAGCGCCCACCAGGAGAGGCGGCAATGTGACCGTGTGGTGAAGATGGCAAGGTGGTTTCTGGTTTATGCTAACTGCAGGAAAGTCTTCTCAGTGAGAAAGATTCCCCCAAGGTGATATCTAAATGTGCCACTCCAAGTTTCTTCTGATGTCCTATTACAGAAAGTTTACTCGTCACTTTCTAGTTAGCTAAACTTGGGCAAAATGTCTCCATGCCTTTCCAGGAATAAGGTACATTTTGACACAGTTCTAGTCTCTCTGCCTAGGAAACCGATTTCTTAGCCAGGTGGAGGAGGTGTGCTGGTAGCAGCAAGCAGCAGCATCACTGCCCACCCTGCCTGGCAACGCTGGCTCCGGAACCACCGGGGCTGGGCAGCCTGGGCAGGAGGCCGCCGACCAGGATCTCACGCAAGCATTTAGCTGCTTGGAGCAGAGTGCTGTCTCATCAAAGGCCAGTGGCTCACAGGACAGGGATCTAGCTGTTAATGATTTCACCCTCAGTTTGCATAATTTCTCCAGAGCTGCTGTACTTTATTTCGTTTCCAAGTTCATGTACAGAGTGGCTCTGTGACCTTTCCATGCCGGTCACATCCACTAATCACATTTGGCTTGGGGCCTGGTTACTCCACTGCAGCTTTGTGATTGTTTAGGATATATATTATTTATTTAGGCTTTATACCTTGAGTACATAAAAAACAAAACAACAATAAAAATTAATTGAGGTGGTTTGTGTAGCCAAACATGGACAAAACTGAGCAACTGAAAATAAAACAGGACTGAGAGTGGCTGAGACAGGGAGATTCTGTAGTTGTAAATTTAGTCCCATCTTTGGCATCTGAGGCAGAAAGGGGTACTATGCTGGGTCAGCAGCGTGGTGCCACTTGTTTCTGGGGTCTCCCATCTTCCCAATGTCCACAGACCTATCAGATAAGGCCTGATTGTTTCTAGAACTGGAATCAATGGCAGGAGATGGAAAACTCTGGTGCTGTTTTCTGATCTAGAACCCTAAACACAGAGATGTGACTGCTATGAGACAGACATTCCATTCTGTTTCCACTGGTGGGGCCCCTCCTCCCCTGTCCCCAGGTAGAGCCTGGGGACCAACGCCAGGGCTCCCACAGGCAGCTGGCGACAGCCCTGGGTGTGATTTAGTGGCCACCCCATGATAAGAATAGCGCCTTGCCTGAGCTGAACTCCCGGGAGATTTCGCTTTCTGGCTGTTGCTTACTTTCTTTACTTTTCTGAGAAGTGAGAGTAAATGCTGGAAGTAAAAGAGGAGCTGGAGCCCTGAGGCGACCCCACGTCAGTGACTCCATCGGAGAGAGCTCCGGAAGCTCTCCTGAGAAGCTTACTGCCACGTGTCCCAGACCAAAGTCCCCGCACAGGCCTGCAGCCATGCTTCCAGGGCTCAGTGCGTATCGGTTTGGATTTCTTTCTCAGGGCAGCCAGGCTGAACGCTGGAACTACACCAAGGCCAACCTGTAAACCTTACTTGTCATGGTCTGAATCACAACTTCAGGAAAGCCAGAGGAGCCAATTTCCCTATCTCCTCCCGCCCCAGGGGTGGCCCCAGGCCTTTGAGGCCCACCTGACCTGGGCTGGAAGCCCAATTCATCACACGAAGAAACCAATGTTCCCAGGAGACCCAAGGAGTGACCAGGGGTGCACACATGGCTAACTTACTGGCAAAGAGCCCAGATGAGACCAGCACCTCCAACAAGGCCTGCTCGCAGCAGGTGCTCACAAGTATTTGCTGTATGAATGGGGGCTTGATGAGTGGGGCCTCTCTCAGAGGTGTGAGTGATTACCTCAGTCTGTAGGTGGGGAAGCATGTGCTGGGAGACTGAGGATTTTCTCAAGGCCACATGGGTAGGAAATGGGAGATCTGGGATTCAAACTCCCCATCAGAACACGGAAAATTTGGTTAAAAAAAAAAAATGCCACGTCTTGCATTGAGTTCTTCTTGCATTTCTCTAAATCTTGACTCCTTCTCCTTAATGGAGTTAAACTGTGGTTCCCGACTGAACCACCACCTGGGGTAGTCTCCTCCCTAACCATCAGGCAGGTGGGCAGGAGGGGGAGCACTCACTGGGAGAACGTCCTCCCGCCCTGTTGTGGCTGCTCTGAAAGGAGGGGCGGGTGGAGGCGCAGCCAGAGAAGCCGACCCAGTCACTAGGCCCACAGACAGCATTTCATGTGGTTGGAGAGTGCACAGTTGTGGTTTCTTATTTCCTATGAAGCTTCAAAGGTTCTGAACCTTTATTGCCACCAATTACGACAGTATTAATGCAAGTGCCTTGAAGTTTAACAAATAGGTGCGAATGAGACCGGGACCTCACTGATGGGACCCTCTTCTACTTTTCTACACAAGACACAAAAGCACTTCAGCAATAAAATGGAGCTTCAAGTCTCAGTAGAGCACCGTGACTATAAAGCTTGAGCAAAAATAATGTTATATACCAATGAACTAGTAAACTGCTCCTCCTGGGGGTTTCCCCTGATGGGAATGGGAAAGGCGGCTGGACCAGATGTCTGGCTGTGCCCATGCTGGTGTGTGGCCCTCGGCAGACCTCCTCCTGCCCTGCCCATCTCCACTCAGCTCCACTGGGACCGCCTCACTACAGGCCCATGTCTTCTTCGTCCTGACCTATCACAACAGCTGCTTACTGTCCCCCTGGCTTCTGGTCTTTCTACTCCCATTCACTCTCCAGTGGATAGCCAGAGTGATCCTTCTAGGATTCATCTGATATCTTACTTCCACCACGATTCTGCACTGCTCTCAGGATGAGGTCCTCCACACACCTGGCTGGATCCCTTGCTCTAGGCACACTCTTCCTCTCTGAGCCTCTGGTTCTGGCTTATGGAATGGCCTAAACACCCAGAGCTCATCATGTCCCTCCTCGTCTGCCTGTATGCGTCCTCATGCCTCCCTGGGGAGTTTTTCTCCTTGTGAGTCGTTCCTGTCTACCCCCTGAGCCACCTAGTTCAATCCTTCTGTCCGTTTATACTCTGTCTGATGCCCCATCTCATATTCTCAGTGACAGTTGGCCAGCATTGGCCTGAACAATTCTGGTGACAGGGAGCTCACTCCCTTCCACCAGCCTCTGAACTCAGCCATGAAACAGCCAGACCCTTCTCCTGGCCAGCCCTGAGTAGCTACAAGGACACAACTTATCATGTCCTCAGACTAGGCCTTCCCCTGTGTAATCTTTCAGCATCCCACATTCCTGAATTATTCCTCTGGAGCTTGGTGTTGAGTCCTTCTGTTGTTTCTGCTCCCCAAAGGTCAGGAAATCCCCAAACCTCATGGTGTCTTTTGTGTTAGGGTCCCTTCCCTGTCCTGGCCGCCAAAGGAGACTCTGAATGAATTCCATGTACTTGCTTTCCTTACAGTGTGATTTCCAGGATAAATTCTTATTCCCTAGGGATGAACTAATTGTTGCAGGTTGTGTAGAATCACCACCTCCTTCATTCTAGAAACTATTTCTATTAAAGTAGCCTGAGGCTGCAATGATTTCTTCTGGGCTAGTAACTCACCCCGAGTTGCTGGTTAGAGCTCTCCAATGCCTCTCCCCACCCTACCATACTCAGATTTCCCCAGAACAGGCTTTATAATTCTCCCACCAAACCTGTGCTTCTTTAGCAACTATAAGATGAATCTTTATATAAGCGCCTACTACTGACCCAGGCATTTTACTTTTAATCTTTATAAACCATCTTGCAAAGAAAGTACTAGTTAGCATTCTCTCCTTCCTTTCTTCTCACTTAAAAATTTCTTAAAATTTGCCGAAACCGGTTTGGCTCAGTGGATAGAGCATAGGCCTGCGGACTGAAAGGTCTCAGGTTCAAATCCGGTCAAGGGCATGTACCTTGGTTGCGGGCACATCCCCCGTGGGGGATGTGCAAGAGGCAGCTGATCGATGATTCTCTCTCATCGATGTATCTAGCTCTCTGTCCCTCTCTCTTCCTCTCTGTAAAAAATCAATAAAATATATTAAAAAAAATTCTTAAAATTTTTATTATGGTAAAATACAGATAACATGAAATTTACCATCGTAACCATTGTTAAACATATAGTTTAGTATGTTAAGCACATTTATACTGTTGGGCAACCAAATCCTACTACCTTTTCATCTTCCCAAACTGAAACTCTGTACCCATCAAACAACTCCCCACAAGCTCCCCCAGTGCCTGGCACCCACCGCTCTAAACTCTGTGAATGTGACTACTTCAGGGACTTCATATAAATGGGATCATAGTGTTTGTCTTTTTATGACTTTCTAGGGTAATGTCCTCAAAGTTCATATTTTTTCTTAAAAAAATAAAGAAAAAAAATAAGAGAAATGCAAGTTGTAGCTAAGAGACTTGTTTGAGGCTACATAGGCAGGAAGTACCGAGTTGGGAAATGAACCAAGTGTCTCTTTGGAGGGGACCTTTCTCTTCCTCCCTGCCTGCTGTCTTCTAGAACTGAGACCTACTCGGGTGACCTCAGTCCTTGAGAATTGCATCAACTTGGCCAAACTTCTGTAGAACCTGGGGGCTGCCTCAGACTACATTTGACATTCACAGAATAAGGTTTTCTGCTGCAAAAATCAGTGCCATCAAAAGAGGAGGCACCCAGACTGGGGAGAGTGGATGGGTGGGAATTTGAGAAAACACAAATGGCAATCCTGTGACAGAGAAGGTGAACCTTCCAGTAACTACTTTTGAGTTAAGGTCTCTGCAAAGTTGAGTGTTGCCGAGTGAAAACAGAGACCCAAGTTGATTAGCTTAAGTAAAGGTAAATACTTAAGCACCATCGGAAGGTGAAGCAGAAGCAGTGCTTTTACAGAAGGAGTTGTGTGAATGGGTGAACTTGGGAAACAAGACCATTTGAAAGAGGGGCAAAGGAGGCCCTTGTTCTGTGGCCTGTTCCTAGTGAGCTGGCGAAGAGAAAGGCTCCAGGCCCGGCTCTGCAATGAGCAGCCACTGACCTTGGTTTCCTCATCTGTAAAATGGGGATCATAACATCACTGATCTCAGTGGGCTGCGGTGACTCCGTTCATGTGAGGTGCTTAGAACAGAGCCAGGCAAAGTAGCACAGAATAAGTTACTCAGGAATTGGCAGCTCTTTCTGCCATTACCACGATAACTACATATAGTAACGCTATCTCAGGCACTTCATTCCACACATCTTTACTGAGTGCCTACTATGAGCCAGGCCCAAGGTCCTCAGTGGTGAATGTGGGAATACAATACAGAACCCACAAAGTTTTCCTTTAAGAAAGAAGAAATTCACACACCCTGGGATTATTCTTATGCATAAACTGACCTTCACATTTTATTCACAGTTAAGGGTGATTTTATTGGTCTGAGTAAGCAATGCCAGCCAAGGGGCGGGCACCCTCTGGAACTTGCGGAAGATGGGGAGCAGTGGCCACAGACCCAGAAAGGACTTCCACCCTGTGGGGCTGTGTATGCTGGCCGCGGAGGCACAGCTCTATGCTTTCCTGTGCTGCGGCTGCCCAGCTGTCCGCCTGAGCGTGGGGGGAGGCCGTGGCCTGTGCAGTCTAGGGCTGAGAAATATCATGACTTTGGCTATTTCTCTCCACAAATAGAGAAGATAAATGGGAAGAGCCCTTTCCTTCCAAAGCAGCAGCACCAATGGCGGAATAGAAATATTTTATTGTTCTACGGAGTCCTCAGGGAAGGACTACAGCAGCACCAATGGCGGTTCTACCGGTGGGAAAATCTTCCAGGCAGCTTAGCATTTAGAGCCACCTAAAACCGAATGCCTATTTTGTGCCAGACACTATTGAGGACTTCCCGAAAGGCACCTGCGCCAACTGAGTACCAGCCAGAAGGGGGCTGACCGCTGAAGGCTCTCTCCAGACAAGTGGCTGCCACACGGACAGAGGCGGGTATGAGCCGCTTCCCAGTGGACCATCGCCAACCAGGGGGCGTCTGGGATGCTTGGGTCACATCAAAGACTTTGCCTGTGATTTTTTCATGCATTTCTATGATATCAGGAAAAGTGTTAACATTGATAGCTGTATGTAAAAAAATTACAATAGCTGGCTTCTAACTTAGAGAGAAGCATCTTCCATGACAACAAATGGCTATGCTAATATGATTTTATCCCGGAAGCCATCAAGCATCCTACCTGGTTTGCTCTTTCAAGGTCCGTCATGATCATTTCAATTTCATCGGCCCTAGGGGATGAGAGGGAGAGAGCGTGTTAGTCAGGAGCCAGCCAGGCTCCGGGGTGCCCACAGTTCTGAACTTGGCAGAATGACTTGTAGGTTCACATTCCAGGCAGAGTCCCAAGTGTAGGGGGAGAGAGAAGCCATGCAGTTCTGTGATCGGGTACCACTGCTCATTGGGAGGAGGTGGGCCTGCCCTTGAGGTGCTCCTGGTCTTGTCAGGGAGAGAGCCATAAACAGATAAAGTGCAGTGTCCTGTCAAAAGATTGAATAGAACTCTGAACAGAGTAGTCTGAAAAAACAAGAAAGGAATTCTTGGGAGAGGGAATCTGAAAAGGCTTTGGAGGTCACATGTGAACTGGGTTTTGCAGGATGAGTAGAAGTTTGTTATGACCGAGAGAACCACAAGAAGTGGAATGGAGGATAGGAATGCAGGACGTGGACTCTGCAGTCTGCTCTACAGACCACCCGGGTTCACCACCATCATCTGGCCTGCTCACACACAGGAAGTTCCAGGTGCTTCTCTCTCCACCTCCCCTGTTTTGAAAGTACTTCCTTGAGTAATTTGAAGGCAATAATATGGTCCCAACTTAAAACATCATGGGACAGAAAATAATGCTGAGAATCCTATTGAGAAGGATATGGATCCATTTTGAAAGTCTATGGGAGGTTAGAACTAGGCACCCTGGCAAGTCACTGCCCCAAACTTCTATATTCAGCCCCTGGGCTGGTCCGTTTTGCTGTTTGCTGCACCCAAAGCTCTTTTAGCCTTTAGTCGCACACTGCGATTTGAGGCAATCTTATCAACTCCCCGCAGTTCGGATGGGGTAACAGATGCCTTGTGTGTGATCAGGTTCAAGGCTCATTGTATCTGTCTGAAATAGTATCCTGCTTTCAGAATGGTCTGAGAAAAGTCTGAAACAATTCATAAAATGTCCTAGTTAAGTGCAGTTATTTTTAGGATGACTTCGTGAAGAAGGCAGTGTCTTTGGAAGACAAACACCCCGACTGGGCCTCTTCGGTGAAAATACTAGGTGAAAGGGGGTGGGTTGGGGGAGGGGGGGTGCAGCTTAAATTACTAAACATCTCGCCGCATCATCTGAAACGGAAACCTCCAAGATTTCAGAAAAACTGCTCTGCCAAAGAAAAGATAATCAAATGACGACAAAGGATAAAAAAAAAAATAATTAAAGGTGTGAAGGGTCTAAAACAGGACAGAAAAGGATACCTGACAGTCAGTACAGAGAGCTGCTATCTTGACAACCTGCTGATAAAGTGCCATTCCACTGGGTACAAGATGATATAAAAAGTGAACAAACTCTTCTTAAGGCAAATCCTAACTTTTAAACACAGTTTTGTTCTTCAATCAAACAGTTATTCATATGTATTTACAAAGTCCGGATCTACCTGGCAAAGTTCCCTCGCTACTGGAATCATTCATTCATTCACTCTCGTGCCATGCACATTTCCTACACCTGCAAGTTTCCTGGCCCAGGGCAGGGCTACGGGAGGGGCACATATAGCCGTGGCTCCTGCAGATCTTGCCAGTACCGTGTTTTTTACAAGAGAAGGATGGAAACATGTAGCTGTTGAATACATTAAAACACACACACACACACACACACACAAAACCACCCTATAGGTGGTGTCTCACTTCTCTCTTCAGCAGATGAGGGGAACTGGCTGCAGGACCAGGCCACTGGGTGGGGAAGGGCCTGGCTGAGTGAGCAGAGATCCTGAGCGTGGGCCTTGGCAAAAGTTTTTTTCCTAATCACTCCTGTTGGGTCCCCAATGAGCACGCTCATCTTCCTTTAATTCTGGCTGATTTATCTGTCATTGAAATAGTTCTTCTGCTTTGTTTGGAACTATTATTTTGGATTTGGTTGCACATCTACTTCTGTCCTCCACATCATTTAACCTTTCCTTATCCTTTCTTGATGCTTTTGGGGTAGTTCTTCAATTTGATCCAATTGTAGCTGTATTCGTCCTATAATTTACCTTGTTTCTTTTGTTCCTTAGTTTAGTTATTCGGTTTTTCATATCTATTTCTACTTCATTCACTTTAAAAAAAAATTATTCCTTGTTTTTGCTTTATGTTGCTATTATCTTCCATTCTTTTCTTGAGAATATTTCTCATGCTTTATTTTGTACTCCTGTCAGATCACACATACTATTGTTGTTTTTGTTTTTATTGGGGGGAGAGGGGAGTCTGTCCCTACAGAGGGATGTTTTCTTCTGGGGCTTGGCTTTCCTTGGGGGTACCGCTACTCTTTCTGGCAGTGTAAACGGGGGGAGGACAGAGAGGCAGGCCCTGCTCTGTCTCTAGGGATAAAATAAAGGAGAAAGACACACAGCAGGTGTTCAACGTACTTTGCTGAGTGAAGAAAGGAGAGAGAGATGACTGCAGGGCCCAGAGGAATCACTGATAACTCCCCTCCACCAGGAAGATCCTCTGGCTAGAACTTCACCTTTAATTCTCTGGGAATTCCCAATCCTGGATCTGAAGGGGGAGAGGTGTGGCTGTCTGTTTTTATCCACTGCTCAATCCTCGCCTGGCTCTGCCATTGGCCAAGGGGCCAATATAGGGTCAGACACAAGCTGAGGCTAGAGAAGAGAGGGGTTCTGAGGGGCCTGGCTTTCCCTAGAGCTAGCAGCAAGGTGGGGACCCGTGGGGACAAATTCTACCAGATTTAGGGGACTTGGATGGGCTTGAGAGCCTCCTCAGATAGTGAGCGGTTTTGGGTGCTCATTAGTATGCCTAGTATCCAGAAAACAACGCACCATTTCCAAAAGGTTTCAATTCCCTTATAAAGAATTAGTCACAATTAAACAGAAAGGTGCCTTCTCGGCAGTCAGAGTGAGGCAATCCCTGGAAGTGAATTTCAAGTTTTTCCATCTTGTGGTTAGTTTAACTTTAGTTACTAAGCAACCACTAAACTGACCAAAATATTGAATGTGATAACAACTATTGCACTTACCTTTCATTACAAGAGCAACTCTCAGATTTCCAAAGCTTTCACACGATAATGACAGCACTGAGCTCTGCTGTGAAAAGGCAGGGCTATTCAGCACCAGGTATCCTCATGACAGCAGGGCCCAGGGGGCTGTAGCTCCCACTCACAGAATGGACCAGAAGCCACAGGAGGAGACAATGGAAGGAACCAGGGAGCAGTGGGCAGCGAAAACGCCAACTATTGCTTTTTAAAGTCTATAGGCTTGTGATAAAAAAACATCTAGCCAGGTATTTCGGTGCGATGGGGGTTTTGAAGATGGGAAGTGCAGCCACTGGCACTTGCAGACGAGGATCCTGATCGTCTGTGCTGGTCTCATCTTAGAACACATTTACTACTGAGACTGTGCAAAGCACTCCTCTCTCCAAGCTGCTGCCTCTGCCCTCCCAACAGAATGAATCCTCCCAGACAAACTGCCCTCAATACTAGTAAGTAACACGAAAATGCCCAGAGGTTAATGCTACAACTACGTTATCTGAAAAGTGCAGTAATGAATTAAATGCCATGTGCTTTCACAGAGTGAGTGTCAACAATATTCTGAAGGTTTTTCATTCTTTTCATTTTGAAGACCCAACTACCACATTAGGATCTGGAGCCTGACATTAGTCTAAAATCATTTATTTTCCAAAGTCCATAATAACAGCACATACTGTTTGCTCAGCAAAACTATTTATTATAAAAATTTAGTTCTCTCACCTCTTTACGAGCCAACAAAACAGCTCTCACTGATCTATTAACCTGCACGGCATTATGTTCCGCTCCGACTTCAAAGAGCGGGTAATTTCAGCTTGGCCTAGACTATTTGGTTCATTCAGTCAGTTCCCTGCGGATCACTTCAGGGTATTCTCTGCACTAGCACACCATTTTGATGAGGAACTCGAAAGGACGTGGCCAAGGTGGATGGAAGGGAGATGATATCCACACTAGGAACTCTGTGTTTACTTTCACACTAGCCCCAAGTGCCAAGGGATGGCACCAAGGCAAGGCTGGGGCATATTTCAATACCTGAATGCTCATGCTGTCATCAGGATCTGTTAAAACCAAGTACATCTACAAGCAGTTAGAGCAGTGTCCTTGGTGGCCTTCAAAGGTCAGTGTGTCTTCTTGGACCCAAGTCAAAAGTCTCAATTCTAGATTATAAAGTTCTTGAGCATCAAAAGAAGAAATAGCTAAAGATTAATCTTCCCTGCTTTAAAAATTAAAAGCCAAAAAGCTCCAGCATGTGCAATAAAGGAGATCTCCCCCTTCCACCTGGATGCTGCATCTGACGGCCTCAGCTGTCAGGAAGGTGACCGCTTTCCTGACAAGCTGCACACCCGGCCAGGCTCTCCTAGTAAAAGGCAGCAGAGGAGACGCAGTGGGCTCACTGGACCAGCATCAGAAAGGGCAGTATGAAAAGGAGGTGGCCAGAGGGCCAGGCATGGAGGAAGGTTCCGTGGCTGTGGGTCTAAAATCTCCTTAATGGGGATGGGCGTCCTCAGGAAAGGCCATGTCTCTCTGTCCCGCCTGGGCACACAGATGAGGAGCTGGGCACAGTGCAGAAGTCTGATCTCACAAGGAAAGCCTGCTCTGAGTCACATGTGAGAGCCAGGCAGGACCGTACCCGGAGGAGGTGGCACTGTGCCCTCCTCGTGCACAGGCACTGACCCCCCCCACCCCCCCAACGGGTGTGGGTCACAGACTAGGCTGGGGATGGAGGGGCAGTCTCTGCTCAGTGCCTACTGAGCACCTACTATGTGCCACAGCTGATGGGGAAGCAAATGTCCCAAGTAGAGATAGCAGTGCTTACTTAGTAGCACTGGTTATTTATTTGCCTTATTACTAGTACACTGACCATATACCTGTACATCTTAAGTGCTTTGCAAACATGAGGAGGGCGAGTGTCATGGAGGAGAGGACATGGTCTGTATTCTGGAAGATGAAGACAAGTTTGTTGGTGCTGAGAGAGCAACAACCTTCTAGGCAAAAAAATCATGCTGTGGTGGGTACCTTTAACAC